GTCGGGAAGTCGTGCGAGGCCTTGGACTGGGCCCGTTGAAGGGGCGTGCTGTAGCTGGCGGCGCCGCCGTCGGCGCGGACGGCGGTGCTGCTGAGGGCGCGGACGGCGGGCAGGCCGGCGGTCGCTGCGCGCTGGCACACGCGGGAAGCAGTCGTGAGAGCAGCCATTTTTTGTGGCGATTGGTGACCGGCGAAAGGCAAGGAAGTTGGTTTTTCGCAAGTCGAGACGACCAGAGGGGTGGCGCGGGCTTCAAAGTCGGGGATTGATTTCGGCTGTGAGGTCTTTTTCCTCCTTTGCGGGTGGTGGTGATGGTGACCTTTGCGTTTTGCCGAAAGTTTTGGGGCCTTGGTTTTTGCCTGCCTGAGGCGCCAAGTTGGTAACAGGGAATTTGGGCGACGCTGATTGGCTGGTGGAGCTGCCACCCGGACTCTCCCGCAAAAAGCTGGCCGCCTCGCAGCGAGTTGGACAACAAGCAAGCTCGGTTGGTGCTAACCTATAGCAGTGCAGTGCCCAACATGCGACAATTGCCATCGATGCGCAAGCTATCGGGCACATATTATCAAAGAGAATGATGAGTTTACACATCAAGGGTCATGTCCTTTTTTCTTCCTTTTTTCCAGCGAACCTCTGGGTTGTATCCGATCTATGGTTACGAGACGATCAATACTTCTGCTGCAGTAGATGGCTGAGGTCAAACAAACACGCAGACGGGCTGTCATTTGGCTGCACTTATGAGCGGAAACTATCTCCTTGCTAGGTGGTGCATATATTGTGGGCGCTTTGGACTGTCAAAAGTTCCTGTACGACTGCACATGCTGATCAAGCCGGAGAAGAAAAACGAGGGATCAAGACGGAGTAATTCCCGGATAGTAGCGACTCTATGCACTGGGATGCGGCGGGGGCTGAGGCGATCTATCCGGGCAAGCAAATCAGGGGGGGCTTCACTGAGACCGTCGATCTATACGGACGCAAGCTTCAGCGGGCGGTATCCCCTCTTTGAGGGTGAGCAAGTGCATGCAAGCCGGAGGCTTCTTCGTCACGTTCGACGTCAGGCGTCATGCCAGAAATACAGACGGTCGGCAGACTTTGGTTTGAGGGCGAGGGCGATAACGCAGTCGGACATTATCCGTCGTGACCTAAAAGATCGAGACGATGAAACTCCGGCTAACGCAAACAAGGCCCGTGTTGAGGCGGACTCGACTTCAACGGCAGAGGCGGCAGGCGGCAGCCTTTGTTCGGTCCATCTGAGTTTGCCACGTTTTTATTGTCCGCTATTGGCTGCCTTGACTTATAGCTACGGGCGCAGATCAGATGCCGTCTCTGATGGGAAAAGGGCGTTTGGCCGCTACTACATACATGTTCTCATGACCTTGTTTTCTTTTTTTGAGCTATCGCATCTCAAAAGCGTCGAGAGTAGGGGCATGTTCAGCACATGTAACGAGTTCCAGGCCTCCCGGAATCGGATCCAAGCAAGCAACCGAGACAAGCAACGCATGGGACAGCCTGCCTCGTCGACGCCCTACCATAGTGTAGAAAACAACAAAGGCAGTCGAGATGGCATCTTCAGCGAAGCTAAAACCAAACTGCAAAGTGTTTAGCGACAAGTGTCAGGTTCGATGCTTAGAAACTAATATTGGCTCAGTTGGGCACTGAATGGTCCCTCTGCTAAGACTCGGACATAGGCGTGGTAGTAGGGGGGGCTATCGGCCAGCCATCGTCAGGGATGGCCGTAGTAGGGACCTTTGCTCGAAGATACCAGGGCCGGTGTTCTCAGAGCGAGGCGGATCGACATGATCAATATACCACGGGTGGCCGCCTAAGCTCTCTTGAGTGGCTTGGAGGGTCGTAGGCCGGACATCGTCAAAGGCGTTGCGATGGGTTGCCGTCGAGGTCAAAGGCGACGAGGGAGATCATGGTGGGGGACAGGTGTTGATTGGGAGGTGTATCGAGTATCCTGTCGACGTTGGCCATGAATGGTGATGCAAAGGGGCATTCTGCGGAAGCGGTGGTGTCCAAGCATTATACGCCGCCATCGCTCAGCCTCCTATTTAGTGGCTGACCTAGTTGTTGGTTGTGGACGGTCGAGTCGAGGAAGGAAAGTTCGGAATCAATGGCGGGCAGGAAATGGGCGTTGCATAGAGAGAATCTGTCAACTTGCAGCCGGGTCTGGGAATTCGTTGGTCAGATCGACTCGGCAAGCAGGTTCGTTGGTTGTCAATATCTATGTACGGAGTATGTTTCAGTAACTTTACGTAGGTACCTGGCCGTCGATGGCGTCGGCCGCCCCTGCATAAGGGCCAACGCTGAACGGTTGCGCTACGGCTGCGCCACCGGCGCCACTGATGTTTGGAAACGGCAAACGGCGATTAACTACCTACATTTCTACTACTCTACTACATGTCCGACACTTGAATTGTCGCTACATTCCTGTATTATTCTTTGCCTGCGAAAGTCGGGAGCCATCAGAGGACGTGAAAATTGCAGCCAAAATACCTTCGTAAGTAGAAGGCTTTTTCTTCCCTGGGAATGGCGAGCGAGAGAAGGGGGCAAAGGGCGTGATTCTGGAGAACGAAGATGCATCAAGACGAGTTGTCTATCTTATTACTAACTAAAGATATGACATCGCGAGCGCTCACTGTTCTTCCCTGTTGGCAGCAAGTCTGGATGCCGACTCTGGACGGGCTCCTCCTTCTTCCCATCAACTCGTCAAGAGCAGCATGGCCTATTGCCGCATCATTCGTACATCCACATGTCCAAAGTAGCAAACCGCATGGTGACGCGGACTCGCCACAACTTTGCTCTTCCGTTCGGCTTGTGAAGAGGGACGGTATATATCAGCGCGGACTCTCGAGAGAATAAGTTCACCCGATTCCTGAGGCACTCGAGCAACCAACCAAACGTTGCCACCTGTTTATTGTCCACAATAAAACAATAACGCAGACTCAAGCATCCATATCCTGACTCCGACTACGAATAGATCGTCCTCTTTTGTTTCGTTGGGCTCTGCTGCAGGCGTCGCTTCGTCTGGGGCCTCGATGGCCACATGGGGACAACCAAAACCAACGCGCAGGGGAACAACCTCCGAGCTTCGATGAGCTTCGAGCCTTGCCGCTCCCCACGTCATGGATGCGGTGGCGGAATTCGCCAGGAACGTGGCAGATTAGTTTTTGGCTGATTGGGGTCGGATCTTCGCCTGAGCCGCGACCCATCACATGTGAAATAACAAAGCACGAAAAGCTTCAAAGCGACGTTTACCCCTCGCGCGGCCCCGTTCACATTACTCTTCAGACTCTTCATTGCTCCGCCATCCCGCTCACTGTTTGAGATGGCTGGGCCGCTCTCCACATTATCTCTCATTGCTGTCTTTTGACTCGCACGCAGCGCGCGCGCCTTGACATCAAAAAGTCAAAGTCAGTAATAAAAAGACACAATCACATGTGCGCCCCATAAAACCCCATTTGCATATTGATATGGCCCACGGTGTGCCCGTTCTTTTGCCACTACTAACAAGGTTAACCAAGTTAACTGGTCAACTAGCTAACAACCAGCACTCGAGTCGTTAGCGGCTCAGTCGGAGTCGCCAGGAGAAACTCTTTTACCTTACCCCTTCCCCGCATCCCTATTGGCCTTGGTACGGTTTCCCCGGCTCTCCGTTCCCAGAGCGGCGGCAGTAAGGCGCAGGGCCTCGCGCGGGGTGTGAGACCTGGTCCTCGGCTCTGTCGTAAACTAGGTGTAGTCAAGCCGGGCCGCCCTATATACAATGTTATTAAAAGGACCGACGTCCCTCCCACATGACTTGTAACTTTTGAATCTAGCACTGTTCCTGAACTTGTTTCTTATTGCCGGACAACAAAAACAGCCATAGCTGGACCATCAATCACCCACAGTCACAGACAAACCTCGCCACCATGGGGTTCGCTCAAGAGCACAACCCCCATGACATGACGTCCGACTGGCAGACCAAAGACCGGTCGACGTGGAACGGCTACCAAAAGTTCATCGACCTCGTCGACGTCTCGCCCGTCCTCCCCGGCAAGCCGCTGCCCGTCTTCCCCAAGACGGCCAAGATGCCCTTCATGGCGCAATGGTCGCAGCACCTCTTCATCATCATCTACGCCGCCATCCCGCTGCTGCTTCACCAGGCCTACGTCTCCTACACGGGCCAGCCCCTCGGCCGGCTCGCGCTCCTCTTCCTCTACAACACGGCCTACGTTATGACGGCCGTCCGCGAGGTTCGCATGCTGCGCAGGCTCACCTACACCTTTGGCTGCCTCGACGGCGACGTCGCCGACCGCGACGGCATCCCCAACACGGGCGCTGGCAAGATGATCGGCGAGATGCACAAGACGGCCGGCTTCCGCCTCATCATGGCCACCTGGATCGCCTACGAGCCGGGCCTGTCCCCGCTCGCCTTCTTCAGCAAGCCCGCCGCCATTCTTGCGCCGCTCGTCCTCAAGCTGGCCCTCTACGGCCCGGTCCTCGACCTTTTCTTTTACACCTACCACCGCGCCTGCCACGAGGTGCCCTGGCTGTGGAAGTACCACCGCACCCACCACCTGAACAAACACCCCACGGCGCTGCACTCGGGCTTCGCCGACGACGAGCAGGAGATTATCGAAATCGTCATCGTGCCCTTCCTGACCTACGCCACCCTCTGGGCCATCGGCCTCAAGCTCAACTTTTACGAGTGGTGGATCTGCTTCGAGTATGTCACCTACTCGGAGATCTTTGGCCACAGCGGCCTCCGCGTCTTTGGCACCGTGCCCTCGCCCATCACGCCCGTGCTCTCGTTCTTTGGCATGGAGCTGCTGCTCGAGGACCATGACCTGCACCACCGCCGCGGCTGGAAGAAGAGCTTCAACTACGGAAAGCAGACACGGGTGTGGGACCGCATCTTTGGTACCTGCGCTGACCGCATCGAGGCCAAGCCCGATAATGTGGACTTTTCCAAGACGGCTCACATGCCACTGTTCTAAATACTCCAGTGGGAGGGACCGATGTGAATAAAATTAATGACAATAGATGTCTGATTTAGCGATACCAGAATACATTTAGATAGAGAAATTTAGAGCTTTACCGATTAATTTTTCGATATCTCGTCATCGTGAGAGACCATTTTTTGTGAGCCCCAATCTGCCCTCACCTCTTTGCATGTAGCAATTTACCACGAAGCCTCGCCGAACTGTAGCTCTGGCGCGTGTCGGAATAAAGAAATAAATGTTTGATACTCCAAAGTAAACAGTTTGTTTCTGATTAGATTTGAAACGTCAATGTAAACAGAGGTTGTTATTTTGCCGTCTTCACGTGACCCTGTTCCGTCAAGCGGCCGCCGCCCACCTTGTCAAACAGATCACGGCCAAGAACCAGGGAGCCACCAGTCAAAGTCCCCTTTACGTACGCCTCCGCCATCCTCGTCTCTCTTTCTCTGGCCCACGAGCAGCAGCGCCAACGACGTGCCTCGCTCCCATCCTCGACACTTCACATGATGGGACTGCTGCCAGCGCCATGATCCCCGGGCGCAGCAACGACGGGCACACCTCCTCCCTCCTCCCCCCCTCGCCCTACCACCCGATCCTCGCCCCCGGCGACGCACGCAGCGGCATCCTCCCCGTCATCCCGCCCGACAGCGACGACTTTCCGAGCCGGGCTCCGCGCAGCAACGCCGCGACCGCGGCGTCGGCCGCCAGCGTGCGGGCCCTGAGCGCGCAGCTGGTCGCCTTTTACTTTCGCGCGCCAGCCAAGGCTTTTTTCCGGACCCGCGTCGACTACCTCGCCTACGCGCGGACGATTCACAATGCGCACACAGACGCTGTCCTGCTGCGCGCCGCGGCGACCGCCGCCGGCGCGGCATCTGGCCGCCGGTCGCGGTGGCGCGCGCTCCTCCACCAGTCGTGGCTCTGGGCGCGCAGCACCACGCCCGGCGTGCTCACGTCGGCCGTCCGGCACGAGGGCTGGTCCATCCTCCCACACCAGATCCTGCCGCCGCTCATCGCCAACGTCGGCGTCGGCGCCGTGCTCTACACGAGCTACCTGCACATCCTCGGCCGCCTGCACGAGGGCAGCGGCCGCGCCACCGCGCGCGTGTACCCGCCCCCGCCGCCCACCAGCACATTTACCGCCGGCCTGCTCGCCGGCGCGCTGCAGAGCGTCGTCGCCGCACCGCTCGACGCCCTGCAGGCCCGCTACGACCACAAGGACCTGATGCGCGGCGACGGCAGGCCGCAGAGCATGTGGAGCTTCGGCGCCGAGAAGCTGCGCGAGATTGGCCTGCGCGGCGTCTTTGCCGGCTGGGGCCTGTCGCTCGCCAAGGACGGCCTCGGCTCCGCCGTCTTCTTCAGCGTCTTTGAGTACGTCAAGGCCCAGGGCTACTACCGCTTCGTGACGTGGTACTACGGCGGCCTCGGAAAGGACACTGTCGACCTGCTCGCCACAAGGCGGCCGGTGGGCACTGCCGCCGCCGCCGCCGACGACGACGACAGCGTGGCCGCAACCACCATTATCCGGCCGCACTACGCCATCGAGCCCATGTTCCTTCTCGCCGCGGGCATCAGCGCCTCGTTCACGCAGCAGCTGCTGCTGCACCCGCTCACGCACTTTCAAGTCAAGCACTGGGACCACCTCGAGGACCTCGACGCCAAGGTGCAGCGGTACCGCGCGTCCGCAGCTGCGCACCCGGAGAAGGCGGTCCCGCGCTTCCGCATGATGCGCGCGTACTACCGGGCGTACCAGGAGACGCTGGCCGGCTGCGCCGCCGAGGCCACCGCCGACGGCGTGTCGCTGAGCCGCTGGCTGTACCGCGGCTTCTGGTGGAACGCGATCCGCCAGGTGCCCAGCACAAGCGCGGGCCTCATCATCTTTGAGTTGATTCGCAGGAAATACGGCTTTGGCGCCGACGAAGTGCGCATCACAAAGGACGGGTACGACATCCAGCTGCATTAGCGAGCGCCGGCATGGGGCAAAGATGGAGTGTAGAGGTGCTGCATTATAGAAACAGGGCAAGATGATTGTCTTGAATGCCCCCCATTTTACAAGAATATAGCGTGAATAGATGAATGAATAGACCAGTGCATTTTCTGCCATGACGTACTGTCGAATCTGCCATGTCAGGTCCGGTGCATGGTATCATCGGGGTGGAGCCGACATACTCCGCGCAGCCGACGGACCTTGTACCCAGCTCACTGCTTTCTCATCCATTATCCATCTCTTCCTTAATCCTCTTCTCAAGCGCAAGTACCAAGCACGCCGCCATGAAGCTTACACTCCTCACGGCGCTGGCGACCGCTACGCCGCTCTGCGCCGCCACACTCACGCCCAACTACCAGTACCTCCCTCCTCTCCGTGAGCAATCGGCTCTTCAAGAGAAATGGTACGCCGAGCGCCGCGCCACGATTCCCGCCCTTCTCCAGAAGCACGGCGTCGATGCCTGGCTGGTACGCCGCTTTCCCCCCTTCCATCTCTCTCCTCAACCAAGCTCACCCCTCCCCCGCGCGCACATCTAGATTAGCCAGCGCGAGTACGCCGAAGACACCGTCTTCTGGTCCCTCACACCGTCCTTTTCGGCGCGTCGCCGGACGACCATGCTCTTCCTCGCGCCGTCGGCCGCGGACCCGTCGCTGGCCACGGCGCACACCTTTGTCGACAACACGGCGCGGCTGTGGGACGACGTGCGCGCGGTGCTCGCGCAGCGGGACCCGGCGCGCATCGCCGTCAACGCGCCACCCCGAGATTGCGTTCGCGTCGGGCCTGCACGCGGGGGAGCTGGCGGCGGCGCGGCGCGGGCTCGGCGGCGTGTGGGCGGAGCGCTTCGTCGGCGAGGCGGCGCCGATGCTGGCCGTCGAGTACATTGGCACGCAAATCGCCGCGCGGCTGCCGTGGTACCGCCGCATGCAGGAGACGGCGTGGGCCATCATCGCCGAGGGCTTCAGCGAGCGCGTCATCACCCCGGGGCAGACGACGGCCCGGGACGTCGAGTGGTGGATGCGCGACAAGATCCAGAGCCTCAACTACACGACCTGGTTTCACCCGAGCGTCACCATCATCAAGCCGGACACGCCCTGGGGCGCGGCCGCCTCGGAGGAGGAGGACGAGGAGGAGGACGAGGAGGACACGCCGATTGCGCACGGCGACCTGCTGCATGTCGACTTTGGCGTCTCGGCGCTCGGCATGCACACGGACACGCAGCACCTCGCGTACGTGCTCCGCCCCGGCCAGACGTCACACGACGACGTGCCGCGCGGCTTCCGCGAGGGCCTCGGCAAAGGCAACCGCCTGCAGGACATGACGCGGCGGCACATGCGGCCGGGGCGCACGGGCAACGAGATCCTGGCTGCCATCCGCCACGAAATGGCCGACGAGGGCTTGGAGGGCAAGATTTACTGCCACGCGATTGGCGACTGGGGTCTTTCTGCTGGTACAGTGATTGGTGCGTCCCGTCTTTTTTCTGTTTTCTTCTTTTCTTTACCAAGAAGAAAAAAAAAATGACTCACTGCAAATAGGCATGACAAACTTGCAGGACCAGGTCCCCATCCTCGGCGACCTCCCGCTGCTGGCCAACACCTGGTACAGCGTCGAACTGCGCGCCGACCACTTCGTGCCCGAGTTCAACGCCACGTTTAGCTTCCCGCTCGAAGAAGACGTCTACTGGAGCCCCGAGGGCGGCTTCGAATGGGTCTATGGGCGCCAGGAGCGTCTTCACCTCATCCGGCCCGCTGGGCATGCGTCCAAGCAACAAGGGTCGTCTCCAGAGTTGTAAAAGCAAAATTCCCTCTTCCTGTCAAGTACAAAGGGCAGACGCTTGGGAGGACAGAAGCAAGAGCATGGTTTAGTGACATTGTATTCACGTTGCTGTCCAACTTAGTTCCGCTCTCTGGCAAGCCACCACCACCACATCGCTCTAACACGGCAAGTATAAAAACTAAGACTAGAAGATAGCAGATTCAACCACGGCAACAAAACAAACCAAGGGGACCAATGCTGCGCAGAGTAAAATAAAGAGGAACCAAACACAGACAAGAATAGTAGATAACATAAAAAGATTTCGGAAAAATCATCCTCAACTCCTGCAATTCTTACAAGTTATCAAGGAGAAGGAGGGAGAGCAACGCTACTTGCGCCCATCCCTTACCCTCTCAACATTTCCACCTCTTCGCTTGACACGAAAAGAGTATCAACCACACCAATAACCACCCTCGCCTTTCCTTGCCCTTTCCGTCCCACCCTTGTCCGTGGCCGTCCGGTAAAACTCCAGTTTAGAGACCCAAAAAACAAGACCAAACTATTCGACGTAGATTGGATGTCATCAATATAAAATCTTTTCCCGCTGGCGCAAAGAGACTGCCGCTGTGTTCCTTGTCCAAGAGCGAAGAGTAACCGCTAGCTTTCAAAATCCGCTAAAAGAATCCCATTCCTCCGTTTTAAGTGCGGCGTGAACTACTGATGCTGTGCTCACGATCTTGGTTGCTCTGCTTCTTCTCCTTACGGCCCTTGATGACGAAGTCGGCCATAATTTGAATGTGGTCAGCAGGGAACCACCAGTTGGGAAACGCCGGGATCCGTTTGAGATCTGCGTTGTCCATAGCACCCAGGACTTCAACAACCTCTAGCGTGTTGGTCGAGTACCAAATGTAATCAATGACACCGGAGAATCCAGGTGTGTAATTGGTGAATGGCATCTCGTCGGCAGTTCCTCGTGTCGCGGCGTACGAGTCACGCAGGCTAAATGGATGTTCGATACCGTCGCTAGTGTAGCTTCCGTATTGGTGATCGCGCAGTTCTGGATGGTCGGGAGACACGCGTCCCTTGGACATGAGCTCAAAGACGGACGAATCTTCTGTAGAGTTGAAATCGCCGCATACGACAAGAGGAATCTCAGTATTGCAGCGATATTCTTGGCTTGGACCGGGCTCTGGCTGTGGGGGCAGAGGTTCGCTACCCTCCTCGCCAGGCGCGATAATTAACCTCTTGTCCTTGACAGGTGCCCAACTAGAATACTTTTCGGCCATTTTCGTAATCTGCTCCATAAGTATACCAGTCTGCACAAGCTTGACATCAGCCAGTGTCGTTTCCCAGGTAAGGTGAACGTTGACAAGAATGATGCGGGCACCAGTCTCGCGAGATTCGAAAAAGGTAATGAGAGCTATGTTGTCTTTGGGCATGACTCGGTTGAACACGTCGTGTCCCTTCATCATGTCGGCCCGGTTGATGGCAATGCCGGCAAACTCGATAACTTGCTTGTCGAGTACCACATACTTGCTCTGCTTGTAGAAGATGGCGCAGCCATCAACTTGTTGGGCCTCCTTCTCGGCCATGGTCCTCGCTCGCGACTTGGGCCAGTATATACCCCGATAGTCGTTTTGCGCCAGTTGAGGACTCAGTTCGTCTCGGAAAGCTTCACCAGATACTTCTTGCAGAGCCACAAAGTCGGCATCGCGGTAGCGGACTTCCTTCAAGATGCATTCCAGGCGGTAGTCCCACTTCAGAGCTTTGCTCGGCGTATACCCGTAGATCTGAGATGTCGCATACTTGTCGCAGAGAATGTTCCAAGAGAAAATTTTGACTCGCTCGAGGCTGGGAGAAACATCCTCCTGGAGCACAATTGGCTTGCGCGGTTCGGGTTCCGGGGGTACTAACAACAACTTAGCATCAAGTCATCACATAATGTCGTTGGAGCATACCTGGTGCATTTTCTCTGAAGGCGTTGATGAGGCTTTTCGTGCCCTTTTCCATGATCTCTTGTTTGAGACCGGGTTCTAGAGGGTTGCCCTCAATTCCTAACACGTCCAGCGAGTGTAGAGCTCCCAGTTCGAACGGTAGCTCTTGAATATTGTTGTTGAATAACAAAAGTTGCTTCAGAAACGTGCACATGCCCAGCTCCGGTGGGAGTTCGGTTAACTGGTTGTACGACACGTCCAAGTGTTTCAGTTGACGGAGATCGCCAATTTGTTTCGGCAGCCTAGAGAGCTTGTTCGAGGCGATGTAGAGCTCACTCAAAAACTGGTAGCGGAATAGCTCCGGGGCGAGATTGCGCAGCCCTTGGCCGCTCATATCCATGTTGTGCCAGTCCTGTCGGTTCTTCTCTATACTGGCGTCCCATGGTCGTCTTCTATCGCCGTCGTTTTCGCCGTCGGCTTGTGCCTTGCCGCTAGACGGCGGCGGGCCACCAATCCCCTTGTTTTCGGAAGCCTTGAGTCGTGCGTAGTAATGGGGTTGTTGCTGGTCCGTCATAGCAGAGTGTGCACGTTCGGAGTCCTTGTGCAGACGCAGCTGCTCAACCCACATTTCGTTCTGAGGCACAGGGCCTGCACGAGACGCGGAGTGTCCGTTTTGAAGACCAGAGTTGAACTGGGCCGAGGAAGAGAGGATACCGGAGGAGAAAGCGGAGTGATGCCCCAGGCCGTTAGAGGCTGGTAGGTGGTCGTGCTGCAGGCCTTGGTGATGCTGGGCCTGTGAAGGATGTTGGTGCTGCGCATGCTGGTAGTTGTAGATCATACTAGGCATCCCTCTGCCAGCACCATTCAGCCGGGCGCTATGGCCCTGCTGATGATTCTGGGAGTACATGCCGATGCCGATGACAAGCTGGTAGGTGTGAAATCGATACGCTGGTTAAAGTAAAATCAGTCCTGGCGCGAGTGCTGTGTGCAAAGTTGTTGCACGACAGGCTAGGACTCGTGTATTTTTTGTAGTTTCGAAAAGGTTAGCCTGAAGTCGGCAACCATTGGTCGCTGGAGACACGTGGCGAGACGTTTACGAGGTCGACGGTGGGCGATACGTGATGCTTGGCGGCTGATAAGGAGAGGCGGACGATGAAGCTCGCATTTGCGCATGGGCTTGTGTCGATGAGAAGCTACGCGTAGGGGAAGACGTACGACAAAGCTTCCAGCTAAGCGCCGACGGACGAAGAGTCACTGGCGAGTAGAAAGGGTGCCTTGCGAGAGTTGTGGTGTCGGCGCGCAGTCGCCGTGACGCGGGAGCGGAAAAAGCGTCGTCGTTCGTGAGAGGAGCGGGAAGTGCAGAAAGACGAGAGTCTAGATCGGCATAGCTGCGGGCTACAGTCGCAAGAATCGGGGGCGCCGGGGCGGGCGGGTGGTCTCTATTAAAAGGGAGGGCGAGGTTAGTTTCCGCAGGAAGAGGCTGGATGTTGCACTGGGGGGGCAGGACGGGAATGGGGGAGTACAAGCGGGAAGGCGGGAAAGGAAATGAGCCAACGCACAGCTAATGAATGTTTGCGGCGGCTCTCAATTGTCGCTGGGGCGAGCGGCGGAGTGCGGCGCAGAAGAATGATAACGAATATCGAGGTCTAGTCAATGATTTGCGTCGTGTCGTGCCTCCCAGCCGACTAGATATCAGAGCGTCAAACTGCGTTGGATTGGAGCGACTAGGGATGCGCGGTCACGTGCTTTGTGCTGCTCCACAACTTAGCCAAACCGGCGAATCAAGTCACGTGGAACCGTGGTACTCATTGAGAGCGCATGGGAGAGTTGATTTTAAATCGTGAGACGGGTTTCACAATGATTGTTGGAATTTTGTGAAGAGCAGGAATGAAATGGTGTCGAGTTGAGAAAGCTGGAGTGTGCATTACTAGGGGCGGTGCTCAAGATGTTGTGATCTACCAAGTATGCACCAGGTAGATCACTGCACCACCGTCGTGACGCCACCACTGAACCATTGTCCTACCAAAAAGTTTCGATTTTGGCCATGAAAATTCCTAATCTGGCTCACTCTGCTGCCATGATACGAATAATAGGGCACCGTATCTCAGTGAAATAGATGACTCTGTGTGATGCGTGTGGTTACAGGGTAACACGTCGTGTCATGGTGGCCTCAACAAAGGAAATTTGTTCAGAAGAAGCTAAAGAACAGACAGGAACAGTGCGGTCAAGCCAGGGAAGACTTTACATGCTCGATGGTGGGACTGTATGCGATGCATTGCACGTTCCTTGACTAGTATACTACGCTGTGGCAAGCAGTTGTCAAGACACCTCGTACCGTGGGAGAGCAGAGATCACCATCTTCAAAGTCCGATGTACGGTTTTGAGAGCCGAGTTCGGTGGTACTGATGATAGCGATTAATTCTGGGTGCCTGTGTTACAACGAAGTATGCCATTGCATTGGGCTACCCATGGCCACAAACTAAACAACGTGGTGCCGCTAATTGTAGATAGCGGGATATGGATAATATAGTGATCGTTATGAGAAGAGATATTCAAAGAGAATAAATAGTATTTGGCAAGGAGGAAACTCTTCTCCATGAAGACGAGACATATCAGACGAATGTCCAAAATCTGGGTCGCCACTTTAGGCCTCCTGCATATTGCATGACGTGTGCCAAACTTTCGCGATACCAAGTTCCGTACCTAACATGACATGCATAGTGCTCGCTGCCTGCCTGTACTGTACCCTTGGGTCTGAGAGGCACAACAAGGGCCTGGAACCATTCGACTATGCCCCCAAGCCATAAAGTCCTTTTTCTTTCCGTCCATTCGCCCAGGTTGGTTTCTTAGACACCAAACCTGCCATGTTCTTGTGCATCCCAGGCAGGCGCGCGAGGAAAGCGTGCAGCCAGGATACCAATAATTCGGTGGGGTAATTTCCCGGACGAGGCTGGCCGAGAAATGCAACGAATCGGATGACGCCGCGATAGCTGAGCGGAAGCAAATGCCTTGGTTTGTGACAAATGTCAGACGTGCATGATCCCGACGGCGGTTTACGACGTGCATCCTCAAGGGGGCGCATACGGTATCATGGCATATTCTGTGCTAGGCAGCAGCTAAACAGGACAAGACGGAGAAACGATCGATGGATGACAGGAACGACTATGGAGTGCTGCCCAGCAGATAGATGAGCATCATCCCTACAATCTGCCATTCCTCGTTACCATTTCCGTCAGCAGCCGCTAGAGCAGGATATCGGGGCACGAGAGAGGAAGTTATGACGGACATTGCAAGTGTTGTAGGGACACAGCACAAGCGGCGGTTAATAAAGCCTGTTCAACGGAACACGAGAGGTGACAGCTCCGTAATCACTCTTTTACTTCTGCTCTTGATGTACTGTCAATCAATCTTCATCACCTGGCTAGCCACTGGTGAAAATCCACCATTTACGTGGCTGCTCTGCACGTTCGCGTACAGGTGCGTGGCAGTATCCCGTCCAGGCGGAAGGTCGGACCTGCACGTCCCCGAAGGACTCACGCCGCTGCCACAATATCACAGAGATACAGAAGTTCTGCGGGTTTCAGCTAATGCGCAGAACAATCCTTCGGAACCGCGAGCCTTCCAATACCTGAAAGGACGCCTCCGCGTGCCTCGGAGTCTTACTGAATGCATATTCGGAGGAGGAGGAGTATAGCACGCGACCTCGATTTTCACAGAGAAGGGGCATGGTGGAAGCAGCGAGGGCGCGTACCCAGGTATAAAAGCAGGCCATAGGCCCTTTTGAATGGCTGCTGATGACCTGCTCAGTTCACCTACGCTTTTCGAGTTATACTCACTCTATACTTCCTGCACATCGGAAATTGAGCAGTCCATCCAGCATGAAGGTTAACTTCTTGACTCTTGCCGCCATGGCACTCGCCAATATCCCTGGCGCGGCCGCAGCCCCCGCAGACGCGCCTATGGGGATCGAGATCACAGAGCGCGATGGAGTGACTTTGATTCGTGAAGTGGTATGTTCGAAGCCCCAGCTCCGGCCTGCGCATAATAAGCGATCAATGGTGCCTCAACGATTTAACCGGCTGCGTAGCCTCATGGGCGCCTCGGTGTCGACAAGAGATGCAGGCAGTGTGTCCATCTCGGTAACCGCTGCACCATTGGCGATGGAAGCTGCTATGCATCTGAACACGGAAGCTGCACTTGGTGCGGCAACCACTGCAAGTCCAATCTGCATCCCTAACGGAGAGAGTTGTGTGAAGTGGTGTCTCTAGGTAGACACATGGCGAACCAGAGCTTGGCTAGGGATAGCAAATGGGGTGCCTGCAGCTGCGGAGAGACGGCAGTGGAAGGGGCAATGATGTTATGCACTCGATACTAGGCTGCGTTTGAAAGAGGAAAATGGCTATCAAACGCTAACCTGTTGATTAATACAAATGCATCCCTCTGTATCGTAACGATTCTCGATAGTTAGACTGAGTGTACCTTGCATCGCAAGGAGACAAATGTCTTTTGTAGAGTCGCTTACCAAACTTGTAACGTATATATGTGACGAGAACTTTGAGAAGAGAAAATTTCCTCATTCTGCTCTGGTGCTGAACACTGTCAAAGAGCCAGCGGAGCATTCCCGTACATTCATCCTCTGTCGGCCGATAGTCCATGAACCCAGCCGACGGACCATCCTGACTGGTCCGTGGTGTATTCGATCTTTGTAAATGTGTCCCCTTGTCCCCCCACAGCCTCCCCTCTTGTACCGGTCCTTGTCCCGATATTCCTCTGCACTCATCCACGCGTGGTAGAAGCTGGCCATCTTGTTGGAACTGTCCGACGGTTGCAAAGCAGCTGTTACAGTGCCACGCATCATTTTGAAGCACTCCCCTTTCCTGTCCACGGAGCGGCACCAAGCCGCCGTCCCCGTTGCGCAGGCTCGTGGGCGAGAGGGTGCGCCAACCCTGATAGTACGTCGCTTGGGGGTTGTGGCCATTCCGGTCCAGTGTGTAGGAACTTGAAGGAGTAGTAGTAGAACGTGGGCGGAAGTGTGAGACCCCGCGGGTAGTTGCAAGACTGAAGAACAAGGAGAGATTGCGGACGAGGGATCTCGTCGATGTCAGCTACAACGATGACGTCGCCTTGCATAGGAGCGAGCTCTTGCCCGTCGAGTCTGCGCACAACCTGCTCGTATGTGGCATCACGTTGTAGGTCCTCGTAGTCACACGTCTGACGGGGGTGGAATGTGGCAGGGAATATCAGCTGTAGGCTGCATGCCGCTGACTGCGATCCGATGTGGCCTTGAGAAAGTCCGAGGGCGACATTGGCGTGTTTGTAATTTTGTGAAAGTCGTGTCGGCGAGATTTGCAAAAGAGGCACCAGAGGAATTCAGAAAATCCTGAACCAAGGATGAATCTGGTAAATGCCCTGCTTCTTATTTGTGGACTTAATATGTGTCTGCTGGTGTATTCAGCGAGCCAGACGACAGGCCTTCGATGAGATGAGCTTAGCGGTTGTGATGGCAGTGATTGATTGGAACAATAAGTGCAGCGGCGGTAGACAATTAATCCAGGTCTTGCCTGTAATTGAAGCATGTGAGTACTGCATGGAAAAGTGGCCAAGCGAAAGGCATCACTGGTCACGTCGTAGGTATTGGGCGGCGAATTGATGGCCATCATTGGTAGCTTTTAGCCATCGTTTCCAACGTACAACAGCGAGGTTGATACCGTTGATATAGTCGTATTGCAGATTAGACTGTGAAGAGGGTGAGAAGAGCCCGCCGCTTTGGCGCTTTCATCTTGGCGAGCAAATTTGATTCTCATGAATGGTCGTAGGTCAGCCCTGTCACGGTTGCGCGGCACCATCAGCTTGGCAGGTCCAGATCAGCCTGCACAAAATAGTTATTGGGCGACAAATGAAGGGCTTATTAGCCGAGGGCCTCATTGCGGGTGTCGTGCTGCGTCGTGCTGCGTCGTGCTGCGTCGTGCTGTGGCGTACACCAGCCAATCTCCACCAGCCCAAATAGGAATGTCGTTAGATGTTGGCAATCCTCAACTTACCATACTGGACCACGGAGCTGAGATGTTGGGGCGATAACCAAGCTAGGACGAAGGATTGATGAGAGAAAGATGATCAGCGCCGTGCTAAGTAGACTGCTGCGCCGCGAGGGCTGGGGACGGGACGCAGCCCGATAAGCGTGTACGGGCACCAGACGGACAAAGGCCGAGATACGGTCAACAATTGGAGATGCAGCCGCGGCAAAATCCGGGGTTCTGGGCAGATATAATTAGCCAGGGCCTGCTCAAGGGTCATCGATTAACCATGGCGGAGAAGGGGCTCTTGGACACTGCCCCGGCCACAGAAAGCACATTGCGGGTGCCAATTTATGCTGTACAAGATGCTAATGCAGGCCATGGCTGGCAGGATTGGTCAAGGATTCGGCGTCGGGCTTTTGGGATGACACATGCATCGACTGTCGTGCGACGTCGCAACGGACGAGCTCGTGGCGTTGGGCAGGCGTTGTCAGTAACTGTAACTAGTTACGAGTGCTTGGGGGGATCCCGTTTTGTGGTGCTGGACGATCAAGGGCGGGTCGAGCCGCGATACTGCGAATATTTCTGGTTGCTTGGAGGGTTTGTGGGAGGTTACAGACTGTCACGAGCCAGACTTGTCGCACGCGCTTGGTGACGGGCTGGTCCAGATTGCTGATAATAATAGGACACCAGCGGAGTTGAAGAAATGTCCGAGAGGCATGACAGCCCGCTGGTTGGAAGTGTGCATGAGGTGATTGTTGAGAGGGGGGCCAGTTGATGATGAAAAGAGCCAAACAAGTTGTCCCCAGCAAGCCTCGTTATCTTGGGCAGGTGTTTAGCGGCCAGCTTCAAAGTCGTGTGCCCACCAAGCTGATGCCAGCATGGTGGCGAGCAGCCTAGTTCGTCGTTCCCCGCGTTATCCCGCACGCCGCGAGGATGGAGGAGAGAAAGTGGAAGTGGAAGTGGAAGTGAAAGTGGGCGAAAAATAACAATATTAATAGCAAGTGCCTGGTCACACTCTTTTTGGGGGGATGATTGTGTCTGTCGACTTCCGTTGGCCGTTGGCAGTCCCCTCCGTTTGTCGCGCATAGGCTCATTCGCCGCTCCTACATCAGCAATCTGCACACTCAGTTTGCTATTTTTAATCTATTTGATCGCATACCGGCCACCGTGCACGCATACATATATACGCGACACATCATTGCCCAAAGCCCGAGGCTACTGCAACTCCTTCCTGCTGGACCCTGGTCTGGTTTTCACCCCTCGGGCGGGTGTCTGTGCGAGAGGTTTGCTTTTGGATCTCGCCGACCACACGCCTCCCTTCGGCGAGAATGTTTCAGTAACTAGGGCTAGGAATGGTGTGCGAAAACAAGTCACCAGGTTCTCCTTTGCTCTTCAAGCGCTTGCACAAGCTAGAGGGAACAAAAGACAAAAGGCGACATCTGGTCGCTACGCTGTGGCAGACGTGGCAGACGATTTAACACCAACAAACCAACCCAAAGACCTGAAACAGTGTTTTTGACGACATTTCTTGAGAGATCCGTCTTGCTAAACTCTCTTTGTTTGCCTGCCAGGAAGCCTACCGCATGCTTGGGTCCCATCTGCAGCATCCACCCTCAGCTTACGCGTTTACACTCGATACGACAACGGTTGACCAGGACAGGACAGGTGTCTTGTTGAAGCCCCGACCCGGATCTTTCCCCTGTTTTCTCCCACATTTTTTTTTATTTTTCTCCGCGCCTGGCCAGATATCCTGCCCCTGCAAAGGAGACAAGAAAAGACGGCTGGACAAGAAGAGCGGGTTGTTTTGCGGGTTAGTTGGCTGGAACCGCGCTGGGGACCGCTAAGAGGCCAAGCTTTTTCCCTATCCTCTGCGACCGTCTGGGACCCTCTGTGGACTGTTTCCACAGCGGTTCCGCTCCGCCCGGCCGCTTTACCCGCCTTACTCTGGCTCTTTCAGCGGGCCTTCAGTGGGTAGCGCACCCAAAACAAATCGCTGGAACCCCCCGCCCGCCCCCAAACTCGAGACGACGGCCCGCTGTGCGGCCTGTATCTACCAGGTAACCCCTGAGCACCTACAGCGATGTACAGCCCAATGATGACCCCAGCCGTCCTGGGAGGTAGAGGCATGCTCCCCTACATCCCCCGCGCGCAGCCATCACATGCACGCCGCAAAAAGGCCAATTCGGATCCCGATGGCGGCTCCCTCACAAAGTCTACTTCCAAGAGCTCCCGGGCCTCAAGCGGCGCTGCCAGCGGCGAGCCGTCATCACAGACCTCACGCGACGACGACGATGACCACGATGGCGACCACGATGCGCCGCTGGAGTCGGACCGCCCCGCCAACGCCGCTGCCGTGGGGTCTGTCCATGGCCATGGCCACGACCATCAGCACAAGAACCAGCAGCAGCAAGCTCGGCACGCCAAAAAGAAACACCACGACCAGCACGACGCTAATAAGACCAACAATAACAACAACATCAAGAAGAGCAACTCGGCCGCCGCCGCAGCGGGCACCACGGCAAGCGGTCCGCATCACTTAGCTGGAGCCGCCTCCCCGGACGCTAGAGGCCCCCCACCGCATCCTCACCACATCCACAACAACGACCAAACCCATCAAAAGCCTTGTCCGTCCGCCTCCTCCTCCTCCTCTTCCCCCTTGTTGCCGTCTGCCTCTGTTCCCAAGCCTGCTGCCGCCCAGCCCAGCGCCTTCAAGCGCGCCTCCCACTCCTTCATCTCCCGCGGCAAGCATCACGACACAACGACCAACCAACCTTCGCCGCCCGACGCCTCCTCCTCCAAGCATGCCCATGCCCATCCCCCCCGCAATCCCTCCTCGTCGTCTCGGTCTCCCGCCGCAGTCCACATGAATGGCGCAGCGCCCGTCGCAGACTTCCCGTTTGTACGCTCCCTCTCCGCCTCGGCCGCCGCCTTGGCCGCCGGCTACCACGTCATGTCCTCGACCGCCGAGGTCTCCTCCAGCTCCCGCGAGAACCTCATCACCACGAAGCCCTTTGTCATCCGCAATGGCCGCTCCTACCTCAATGACTCGAGCCTCCCCTACCCGCTGCCCGCCGACCTGACCGAGTTGCACCGCCAGTCCATGCGCACCCTGCTGCTCATCCAGGTCTTTGGTAGTCCCGTCTGTTCGCCCGTCTTTTCCACCCGTCCGCCGAGGCGCGTTCTCGAAATTGGCTGTGGCTCTGGCTTCTGGTCCATGATGTGTCATCGCTACTTCAAGTCCCGCGGTCACGGAAACATCTCGTTTACCGGTATCGACATTGCCCCGCTCGCGCCTACAACCCCCATGGCGAGCGCGACCGCTGGCCACACGGCCGCCTCGAAGCCCGATCCCGAGATGAACTGGCACTTCATCAGCCACGACCTGCGCCAGCTACCCTGGCCCGTCGACAACGAGCAATTTGACCTCGTCATGGTCAAGGACATGAGCCTGGCCACCACCACCTTGCAGCACCAGTTCTTTGTCGACGAGTACATCCGCCTGCTGCGGCCTGGCGGCGTCCTCGAGATCTGGGAGTCGGACCATCTCATCCGCATGCTTCGCCCGCACGTCCCCGAAGCCAAGCTTGCTGGCGACGACACTGAGGACCAGGAAGCCGCCGCCAGCCTGGGCGCCTACGTTATGAATGCCAACACCCCGCTTTCGGCGCCGTTGAACACGTTCCTTGTCGAGTACAACCAGTGGCTTTCGCGCGCTCTCGAGACCCGCGACCTCGCCGCGGTGCCCTGCACCCTGATTGGCCCGACAATGCTGCAAGAGTCGGAAACGCTGACAGACGTGCGCTCGCGACGCTTAGCCATCCCCCTCAGCGAAGTGCGCTGGGAGCGCGAGGGTGTCGGCGGCGTTGTTGTCACCAAGGACAGCAAGGCCGCCGCCACGTCGCCGCCGCCCAAGGCCGAGTGCCGCGTCCTGTCGGCCGGCCAGGAAGCGCTCCGCCAGACGGCGCTCCTGACAGTCGTGCAGCAGGTCCAGGCTCTCGAGCCCATTCTGCGCGAAGCCTCGGGAAAGAGCCAGGACGAGTGGGATGTATGGATGGGCAAGATGATGGGAGACCTCATGAGCGACAACGGCACGAGCTGGGGCGAGTGTTTAGAGGTGGGCGCGTGGTCGGCTACGAAACGAAAATGATGAACCGCAGCATGATCAGCTATGAAAAGCGACAAAAGGCTACACTACACAATGGTTTGCCACGAAACAAGGGCGATGGACGGCTGGCTGCACTGTCAGCTACCTAAGTTACAGAACGCCTCTGACTTTAAGGCACGACAGAGTTTCAGATGAAAGAGAATTGATACGGACAGGCATCTCAGCGATGAGTTATGTGATTTTTTTTTCTGGTTTCTAGTCATGAATTTAGTTGCATATATAGTATGGCACATGATGATACATGATAGTACATGAAATATTCCTGAACGGCGCTACGCACCCGGCACGTAGCGTTTTCGTAACGTGCGATATCTCTTCAAATAATATCTAGAAGATGATTAGTATTCCTGCCCACGAGTGGGTTGACGTGACCGTGGCGTCATCATACAGCGCTTCAATTTCTACTTTTGATTGTCAGCATTTTTTTTATTTCATTCTTCGCTTTTGTGCGCGGGCAGGCCGACGTGCCTTTTTTGACATATTCAGCCTGTCGGAGCCCCTGCCGAATCTTGTCGGCGTCGCGCTCCCCGGCCTTGGCCTTGAAGGCCTTGTGCAGGCGCGGCCGAAAGTAGCCGTACCCGAGCGGATACTCGCGCCCTAGGTACAGCAGTTCTGGCTACGACGTTGGTATTAATGGACGTTGGACGGAGAGAAGGAGAATGAACCTTTGTATATGGCTATCACTTGGTGACGGAGAGACCGCGGCGGCGGCGGCGGCATGGCGGCGGGTTGGTGGTGTTGAAGTCTTGCGAATGAGGGAGAAGAAGAGGTGATTCCCAGGTTCAATTGACAAGCCGGCGCTAGCGCTCCACAGTTTGTTTTATTAGGTGGTTGAAGAGAGTCACGCGAGCGGGTGCCAATTTTTAAGCGATAAACGTGATATCTTTTGGAACAAATCACCTTATAAAAGAATCGGTTTCGGTGCCTCGACAATAGTGCGACATTTCCTTTCCATCGGCGCACTGGCTGCCTACCTACCCACCGGCGCAACAGCGTCATGGATTTACAACCCAGCTAAGTAATTCAACACCAAGCGACAAAAGCACCTATCATCTTGTTCCTTTTCTCTATAAAGAGATCAGCTCGAAGTAGCGCCACAGGTAGGAATAGCCGCGAGCTAGAGGAGTGATTGAGTCCCCATTCTTGAATAAGAGTCTGGCTGGCAACAGAACACTTGCTAATAGCATTTACGAGCGACCTTGTATAGCTCAGAGTACCTGGACTGATACTTGCTGTTGCATCTAGCCCACTTAGCCACATTGGTGGTTGGAACTGAACAGGCACAGTGCCGCTCCATTCGCAGTCGATGATCCCTGCCAGGGGCGGTCCTCGTTCACGATAATATTCGACGGTCGTAGGTCGCCGGGCGAAAGGACAAAGGGTTGGAGATTCAACATAGGGTCGATGAGTGGGAAAAGTCTAAATCTGAAGTCTTGCAAGGCAAATACTTCGCGCTGAGCCTCACGCTTGTCTATCCCGCCGATGGTAGGCTGAGTTGCTGATGCAGGGTCTCGAAATGGCACGTCGCAAAGTCCAGGGCGGTTGATGACGTTGAACACGCCGTCGCGTACCCCGTCGCTGAAGGCTGTTCAACCTTACAGAGTTTGGCGCGGTTATGGCATATCCGCCCGTATCGTATCATCTTTGACCAATGCGCCACCATACTGGAACTCTTGTGCGCGCGCGCGAAGTTGCGCGAGGGAATCGCCCAACTCGGCAAGGAGAGGCCTCAGAGCGTCAGTAGAGTTGTGTAATATCTCAAGCTGATCGAGGGGCCGACCAGAGATGTATTGATGAATGGAAACTTGGCCTGGCTCTCGGGGTGCAATCCAGCACCAAGTCCATGACCCTTGACCTCTGGTACACGAATCGTCGTCTTTGATCGGATATATCTATGCTGTCCGTCAGCTTCGAGCGGCGGTCAATACAGGGGTAGGTTGCTCATTTCCAATATGGCGACCTCGCTTTGCAGCTTCCGCCAAGGCTCATGAAGCAGAGGGCATTATCGGGGAGCGAACAACTCACTTGGTGCCGTCATCGGGAGACAGGATAAAGACGGATAAATTGAAGCTCCCATGCGTTCGCTGACCAAATTAGTAACATTTTTTCCCCATCATGCCCATGATGTAGCTTGATGCGCAGCTTGCTCAAGCTTGGATGCGCGATGACGACGTCACCAAGACGCCTGTGGCACAGTCGGCACCACTGCCGATGCAGCCAAAACCGGGCCTTGTGTGATTAATATAACAGCCCATCAAGAAAGCGGACATGATTGACCGCCCATTTGCCATCCCATCGTTTGGGCCATCAGCCACACACGATGAGCAAGTCACTGTGCTACAGTGACAGAGTTGCTCCTCACACCACTGCCGACAACAGCGGCCACCCACCCAATGATGGGCGTGGCTAAGGTGGGACATGCTGGAGCTCGCCCAATGTCATGACCTCATTCACGGCCTCGTGGCCACGTCTCGAACAGTGGCGCAAGCCCTGCTGAATATATGAATATAGCATCCCGATTTTTGCTTGGTTGATACCCAAGCCTCGTGTCGCCACGCAAGCAGCCGGGGGGTGGTTGGCTGGCTTCTCCCCAAGAGCTGGTTGTTGTACGAATGCGTCGCCAAGGGGGCTGCGTCATGGGACTGGGTTCAGTTCCCTGCTGGCTTGGTTAAACTAGAAGGAAGAATCGACAAGAGATGCTCAATGAGGAACTCTGGGCTGGGGCGAAAGGGAAGAAAAAAAAAGAGATAAATGTTGGGGGTTCCCAGTACACAAATCTGCCAATGCACAAACAAGACAGCCTCGCACCAGACACTTACTTGTACATTGCCTTCAATACCCTTTTCTGAATTTCCATACTATTCATCTTGCTCATCTCACAATGGCCGTCGATCGCATTGTCAGTCTGATTCTCCGCGGCGCAGAGCTCGTCTTTGCTTCCATCGTCGCCGGTGTCAACGGTCAATACCTGCACAACACCAGGAGCACCCATTTCTCGCAGTGGCGCTTCATCTACACTGAAGTCGTGGCGGCTCTCGGCATCTTCTTTGCCCTGATCTGGCTCATCCCCTTCTCCTACGCCTTTACGCACTGGCCAATCGACGTGATCCTCAGCCTGCTCTTTTGGGTCGCGTTTGGCGTCCTTGTCAACGTAAGTCACTTTTTTTGTTTTGCGCTGCGACCTGTTCGCCATGTTCGCCATGTTCATCCATCACTCACCCTATTTCTCCACAGCTCATCGGCGGCAGCTGCGGTCACGTCTTCAACTGGTACAACGTCCACCTCATCCACGGCAACCAGTGCAGCAAGTACAAGGCGACCATTGCCTTTACGTTTCTATGCGCGATTCTCTTCCTTGTCTCCGCCCTGGTCGGTCTGCTCTGGTCTCGGAAGCGTGAGGCCAAGGTCAACCACGGCAATGCCGTCGCCCACCGCCGCTGGTACCACCGCGGAAACCGCCGCAGCGCCGTCTAATACCTTACTTATAATGATAAGTGCTATTCGCTGATACCGGCACGCGCCGAACAAAAGCCACACATGGCTTCATGTGTAATGGTGTGCCTGATATTGTTGCATATTCTACGATTTGTTTGAACCTGAATCATGATACCTCCCTCGAAACTTGGACTCTGCAGCACCACGATTTTGATGAGCAATGGAATTCTGGAATTCTGGAATTTTTGGAATTATACCTGATTTTTTTTTCAGATTTGTGATTTTGCTTTTATAGTTGAACCATAATACCATTCCTTTGTTAATAACCCTTGAAAAAATACTGTCTTTCTACATAATTGATCGCGCAGAAACATGACAAAAATAAAGTTCTTCCAAGATATTTGACTCTTTTAGCAATGACCTTCTTTTTTTTTTTTTTCTGTTTTTCTTACAAATTTTTATCCCCCCCTCTAGTCCGACTCAGCCAAGCTGCTCAATAATGGCCAGGTGACCTAGGCCGTAGATTGCCATGTTGTAAGACGTTTCGTGTATGCGGCCCGTGTTGACGTCTACAACCCCCCTTGTCCATTCAGTTCCTGAGAGGCACGTCGAGATGACATCTATTCCAGTGGCTGTGTTCAGGGCCAATCCAAGCTTGTATAATTTGTAGAAGATTCTGGCAGGGTTGTGGGACAGTAACGTAGCGCCGCGAAGCCTGTGAACCCCGGTCCCTAACTAAAAAAGGTAGCTAGAGCTTCTTTCCATGCCAAGTTTGCGATTTCATGAGACAAATCAACGGCCGTCGCGATCGAGATCTGTAGCTGAAAATCCATGCTATTAACGTGGCCAGCACCTCATCCTCACCCACTTGGCGCCACAGCCTGCCAGGGAAAGAAGGCGCCGATCCCCGTCACAAGACGCCACACGGCCGCAAGCCACAGTCACTGCAAGTTGACTGGTACAAATGAGTTTAGCTAACTACCTATGTGTGCACATAGACGGGCAGATCTGCACCTCGAAATTGCATCAGGCGGGGGCAGGCTGTGCGCAGTCCAGAACCAAGGCGAGCAAGCGGGCAGCCACACAGCCCCATGAAAAAGTGATGACGCCACCACAGCCACAGTCACTCTTCGTGATCTACGTAACTTCTCTCTACTCCCTCTACTCCGCACTACCTTTCTGCTTCGAAAACTCTACGCTCTGCAGCAATGCTGCGTATGTTTTGCGTCATCTTCCCGGCCATGTCGGCCCTCTTTTCCGAGCTACACCTTGTTTGCTTGCTACTCCTTCCAACCTAGTTTCCGAGAGCCAAGGCGGGCCATCTCACGACTGGTCCTACCCAACTACTACCCAATCCCTCCCCCACCACCTTGAAACGGTTTAATTTAACCAAACGGCGGCTCAATCCTCTCCCAACCTTATTAAGCCGGAGAGCTCCAACGCTCTTGTTCATCATCTGTAGCACAAACGTCACGTCAGCATGACGCTTGCCGGCTCACCCCTTCCCACATCTTTGCATTGCTCTCGCGTGTGGCTGGTGCCGTCAACATCTATGACGATGACCAAAGCGTATTCTCCATCATCACCGGGTAGACACGACCCGTTTAATTCAGTTTCCGTGACAGATGAGCTGAATTATTGCCTTGATGTCGACAGAGGCGTACAATGGAGGTTGCCCATGATTTCATCCTTCGTTGTTCAAAGTCGTCTATAAAGGGACTGCATCGCCGTCTTCAAAAGACTGTCTTTTTCTCCCATCATTACACTTTCAAACAAATACCACTTTGATACCCAAAATACATTTCCAAAAACCCCATCATACTCCCATCTTACATCCACTTACCCCATACATTCACCATGTCTTCCATCATCAACAAGGTCAAGGAGGCTCTGCACTCCGACAAGGACAACCAGGACGCTCACACTCAAAACACCACCGGCACGCACAGCTCTCACGACGGCCGCACAACTGGCCTGCACTCGGGAGCTGCTGGCACTGCTGGCACTACTGGCTACAACACCACCGGTGCTGGCGGTGCTACCTCCGGCCTCGCTACCGGCCCGGCCTCGGGCACTGCTGGCCCTCACTCCTCCAACATTGCCAACAAGGCCGACCCTCGTGTCGACTCTGACCTAGACAGCCGCAACCGCGTTGGCGGTGTTGGTGGTGTTGGTCACTCTGGTGCCACCCACGGCCACTCTACTGGCCCTGCTTCCAACACTGCTGGCCCTCACTCCTCCAACATTGCCAACAAGGCTGATCCCCGCATCGACTCCGACCTGGACAGCCACAACCGCGCCGGCGCCATCGGCAGCGGCCCCGGACCGGCCTCCAACACTGCCGGTCCCCACTCCTCCAACCTCGCCAATAAGGCCGACCCCCGTGTCGACTCTGACCTCGACGGCCGCGCTGGTGGCTACAACACCCGCAGCTCTGCCGCCGCTGCTGGCACCACTGGAGGTGCTATTGGTAGCCATGGTGTCCATGGACAGCAGTACAACACTACCGGCAACAGCGGGTTGACCGGCAACAGTGGTTTCGACAACACCACCGGCGCTGGCACCGGTTTCGGTAACAGCAACACCCTCGGTGGCACTGGTACTCACGGTGCCGATCCTCTCCACTCTCACGTCGGCACTCACAACACATCCGGCATTGCTGGCACTACCGGCCACACCGGCCCTCACGGAACCGGTTCCCACAACACCACTGGCGTTGCTGGCACTCATGGCACGCACGGTACCACTGGCGTTGCTGGTACTCACGGTACTTCTGGTCACCACAACACCACTGGCCAGCACAACACCACTGGCCAGCACGGTACCACTGGAGTTGGTGCCGATGGCCTGAACACCACCCCCGGCCCCGCCCCCAACACTGCCGGCCCTCACAAGTCCGACATGCTCAACAAGATCGATCCTCGCGTCGACAGCAACCTCGACGGCAGCAAGACCGTTGGCGGCAACAACACGTACGCCCGCTCCTAAACGCGCCCGTAAAACAAGAATACGGATGAGATCGACGTGCTGACTTTTGGAGGATATAAAGAGTCGAAGATACCCGAAAGGACCCCACGGACGCTGCCCAGGTTCCTCCTTCCGTGCTCCAGAAGCACATCGGCGCTCCGACCATTCAGCACGATGACGATACCCACGATCGCGAGCGTCGCCACAGCGTCGCCCACCGAGAGACGCACAGTGGACTGTAAAGACAGTTCAGCATGACGAACAGCGAAGATTTGTTACGAGTCTCTTTAGTTAGCTCCATGGAATTTCTCTCATAATCATTTACTACAAATTCATTTTGTTATTTCTCTATAACTGGTCCATTGTGCAATGAAATGAGTGATTGTGAACTTGTATCATCCTAAATGCGAGTATATATTACTAGACAATAAAATTCCCCGGGGCACACTTGTAGTAGCGTTGTCAACTACTAAGTGACTCTCGTAGTGTGCGATGTGTATCTCACTTGACCTCTAGAAGTAGAGTAACTCCGTATTCTCCTTCAAGAATGTATAGCTATCATTCCTGAAAGTATCCTTCAAGTCTCTATTCGCCAAAAGGTTAGTCCACAGCAAATCCCTACCCTGTGGCGTCCACTTTGGCCACTGTCTAAATTCCGTGGTACCATTATTCGGGTCGGCAGTATATAGGAAATTCAGATAGTACGACCTGGTAGTCAGCGCAGGTATGCCAAGGCCATCAAAAATCATGTTGACATCTGCACCGTGTCCCGTACCGTAGAAGCCCACAATCCCGTGGGCCATGGAGTTCAGAGAGGACCAAAGAGGCACCGTCGGATGCGAAGTGGCCATGCCATCAAGCGCCAGGCGACGAGCCAGCGTGAAGACAAAGTCGCCTATCACAGCCGCGACCCTCTTGAAGCCTTTGCCGGCACCGTACGCTTCCTCGTACCACTCGTTCTGATCACCAGTCCGGAAGGGGCTTCCATCGGCCGAATCGGCTGGGTATGTATCCACGAGGCCGGCGACCTGCTCCCTTGTCGCCTTGTCGAAAAACGTCTCTTTCAGATAGTCGACGAGGCTGTCGGTGTCGTTGACGTGCCTCTGGGCGAAGGCAAACAGGGTTCCTTCGTCCTCCTGATTGGTGAGGATGGCGGGAACGGCATAGTAGTTGCCCGTGTTGGCAAGGACCTCGGGACTGTCCACCAGCAGCTCCCCGTCGGGCCGCGGCAGGTAGGAGATGGCGAGAGACGAGTTGTCCAAGATGCGCGGGACCGAGTTTGCCGCGCGATAGAAGGTCGGAAAGGAGGCATTTCGAAGACAGTCCAGCTTGGAGGTCGCCGGCTCGCTGCAGTTGGCCGCTTCGACGACGGCATCGAAAATGGCCTGCGCCCGATGCGAGTCGACCCGCTCCGTGGGAATCACGCTGCCCGAGTTCATGATGGCGCTCCGGAAAAGCGGCTTTTGCTTGTAGGTTGCGTTGCCGTTGTAGAGCGCGAGCTGGTCAAACACGGAGATGGAGCCGGACGACTGGCCCCAGATGGTCACTCTGTCCGGGTCGCCGCCAAAGTAGGCAATGTTGTCCGCCACCCACTCGAGGCCCATCCGCTGGTCGCGGAGCCCGAGGTTGGTGCTGCCGTCCTCGAGAACCTCGCTGCCGGCGAGGAACCCGAACCCGCCGACGCGGTAGTTGACGCCGACAAAGATGAACGGGTGCGGCTTCTGCTGCGCCTCGGCGAACCGCAAGAACTTTTCGGCATTGTTGGCGCTGGTGGCGCCGGCCGTGAAGCCGCCTCCAAAGATGTAGAAGAGCACGGGCAGGCGGGCGCCCTCACGGGTGCCCTTGGGCCGCTGCACGTTGACGGTGAGGCAGTCTTCCTGGCCCCGGATGAGGTCGTCTGGCCAGAACTCGGGCGTCATGTCCTTGCCGAGAAGCGGCGGCAGCAGCACTTCGGTGGTGTTGGGCGGCATCTGGGGACAGGCCGGCGCGGCGGCCGTGGCGTTGAAGACGCCGAGCGCGCGCGAGAGCTTCCTCGGCGGTCGAAGTCGAAGGGCACCGGACGGGCAGTCAGCATAGGGGATGCCGTTGAAGCTCTCGACTTCGGTGACGACTCCAATGACTGTGCCGCCAGTGGCGCCAGGTATATCGACCCTTACTTCCGCGACCCTGGGCGGACCATTGGGTTGTCCCGGGCAATGGGGCGCTGCGACAGCATAAAACGGGAGAGTGGCCAGAGCCACAAGTGAGAATTTCATAGCGTTTGCGTGCTCAAGTGCGAGATTGATTGAGAAGGATGCAGCTACATCTAGCAGCGTGTGAGATCCCCCGGGATACTACTACTTTATATAGATCAAAATCTTGCTTGGACACCTTCACGGTGACCAGAGTGCTAGTTAATCGACTTGTCACCTTTCATCCGCCAAGCCTACCTCCCGCCGCCGAGACCTTTCAGCAGCTCAGCAAAAAAAGCACTTCGTCTCATCCAGAGTACAGCACCGACCTCCCGCCGAGACCTTTCAGCAGCTCGGCCAAAAAAGCACTTCTTCTCATCAAAAGAAGCAGTACCGTTCTTGATGGGAAGCTTCGGCGCTACTCACAATGAGCGGGAAGATGTGCCGAGACGGGTCCTGGTGTGTGTTTTTGCTGAGACTACGGAGGACTGTTGTCTGTCTCACGCTGCGATATAAGGAAACAGTGCAGTCATTTACGTACAAGGACCAGTTTTCATGCAAGTTTCAGCTCCAGAGCATATCTCAGCCCCCATCTTCCACCTTTACTTGAGTTAGCCCAGCTGCAGCTTTCATGCTCTGTTTGCTGATTGGTACACAGCCTATCCAGTTTTCGGGGATTTTTGGCAGCTTAAAACATGCATGACATTGGTACAAAAGAAGTTGTAGCAGTGTCTCGGCTCAGACGAAAGGCAGTATCTTATCCGAACTACTATGGAGTACACTCCCGTCTAAGACAGAGTGTTGTCCTGTGGCTGGCTGAACATTTGCGAACGACAAGCTATCCACAAAATAGTTTTATTTGTAAGTATCTAGTGATGGACATGTGTGATGTACCAGATGAATATACTCTGCTCGTCAACTGGACTGCTTCTTCTCAAAAAATTACTTGGACGATGGCACAAGTTGATTGGATACTCGGCTAGAAAAAGAATAGAAATCATACGGGTATATATGCATGGAGATCGGGGGAACTTTGTGTGCTCGATTGGATCACCTCGATCACCATGATGAAGACCAGGGCGTTCGTTACATGCGTTTACCTTGTATCCAAACGCCGGCCGCTGAATATTCGTTGCAGGAGCTCATTTATTAGGTCGCATGTCAGTCCAAGTTCTCCAACTAGAACGTTCTGAATCTTTGACCGTCTACTCTTACCAATGGAAGTATCCTGTAATTCTATTATTCATTACTCTATGAGGCATTTGTGGCTGGAAGTACCTCCCACTTCGCCTCTCTATTTCGGCCAGATCTCGTGAAGGGTGTTGAAAGCATCTGCTAGCGGGCATCCAAAATTTCAACTGCAATGCAAGTCTTAGATAACCCAGCTGAGGTTCTATGCCAGTTCCATGCCGGAAGTACACTGCAGTGTGACGACTGGTACGGGTGTGTCACAGACGTCTGAGGTCGTACCTTGTCAGATGTTTCCGTCAATTCAGTTCACACAAGCCCCAACGTTCAGTGGTACGCTAAAGACAATTTGTCTTACTGAGTTGTTGATTTTATATGCAGCTCCGCTCGCAGATCTGGGAGATTTTCAACATCTCTGGCTGCAGGGCTACTAGGTACCTACCGCTGCCGCAAGTGGCGCCGATCGCATTGCTGATCGACCTTTTGCAACAATTTTCAGGAAGGACAGGAGGTGTAGTTACTGAGGGGGGTTTCCGGCGACGTATGAGACCTATTGCGGACAAGTACCATCAATACAGCCGGGTCAGCTCTCTGAAGCATGGTAAAAGGGAGTCAGCATGGGGAATCTACGGGCGGTCAAAACCCGGACGTATATTCTGCTGTTCAAATAAGCCATCTAGAATAACACCAGCGAGACCAAGTAAGCATTAGTTATACCTAGTTCCTAACAAATCGTGTGATGGCGTCAGCCAGCCAATACGTCGCAGGTCGCAGCCTATGACCTCTGCCCCACCAGACTTCTGCCTCAGCTGCCAAACTGCTCGCTCTCGCTCACGCATCATCGCATCTCCATCGACGCAGCCCTCTCTATTCTCCATATCGGAAGGGCGTCACATCCCGAGACAGAATGCAAGACACATAATGTCCGCCCCCATCTCCCAGGCCCTATGGGATGCCCGGATACCGCTCTACATCACCCATCCATCCGCGCCTACCGCGCCCTTCATCACCAGCATCCCGCGTTTTTCCTACCTCGCCCTGCTGCTGCCGCGCCTCTCCGCCTTCTTCAACACGCCCTGCTCCAGTTTCCACTTTGAGGATGTTTTGCTGCGGAACCTCGCCGCGGGCCTGCTGGTGGACCTGTACCAGCCGTCGCTGCCGTGGCGGCTCGTGGTCAATGATGGCGTAAGCTGGGACATTTCCGACACGTTCCTCAACGCCGCCAAGGAGGTGCGTGGAATCTCGGGGCTGCGTAGTAGTCCTCGACATCTCCAAGTCCCTGGCTTTACCTGGCCTATCCGAAAACTCGCTCACATACCGCATAGGCAGACTTCATCCGCAACGCCAACGCCAACCAAATCATGAAAATGTCCAAAAGCGACACCACGCAGCTCTGGCATGCCGTCATTGATAATGACTATGCCGCGTTTTCCCGCATCAACAACCGTCTGCTCAATGCGCCTACGGCCCTCAAGCACGTCCCAATGCGCGTCTACTTGCCCCTCGTACCGGTGGGCAGCGCAAGCGGCGGCGGACAGTCGACCACGGTGCATCAGCAGCAGGCCGGCGACGGTTCATCGGCGGGCGCCTTCAAGGTTCTCCAGTCTCTCGTACAGCCGCTCGGCACAGATCGAAAGCCAAGACTTCTGGGGCATGCGCTCAAGGAGATGATGCCGAAGCTGTTCCCGAGCAGCAGGGATCCCGTCATGGCAAACGTTCTTCTGCACGGAGTAGCGGTGCCTTTCGATGCCCCGCTCGCGGATCTCATGAGAGAAGCAGCCTATCCTGACGGCTGGCTAAGTTTTGTTGTCGTCATCTTATGATACATTCGTCAAGTCGTTCAACTGGAATATTTGCATCAAACTCACACGGCGCAATGGAGTTGGGGTTGTATTTTTTACTTTTATTTCTCACTAGACGCAAATGAAGAAGCCATGTCTCGCTCCAGGTCATGAAAAGGTAATATTTTTCCCCATGAGGCTTCTGTATGCATCGTCTACTGCCTTGCGTTTACGTATGCGCACCTCGAGATTTTGATCCACCTCCTCAACATCGTCAACATCGTCAGGGTCCGGTATCGTCATCATCCAGGTACGTATATGGCCATCCAAGTGAGCACTGTAGATTGTACCCAGCGACTGCGCGCCACCCATGACAGGCCCAAGTGAACGACAGCCACTTCCGCCGGCACCTCGCCAAGCCATGGTCGCGATCCTATTTCGGCCAATCTCAGCGCTGCGCGGACCAACGGGGTTTGCCAAACCGGGGCTACGCAGGCGTGTGATGATGGTACCGTCATGCATGTTCAGCAACAGCATCTCCTGATCGTTAGCCCAGACGAGGACATCGCCTGTACTACAGAGACCGGACGGTGACAGAAGCATGTTTGCTGTTTTAGGGTGCTGGTTTTGGATAAGCGATCCAAAGCTGGCGAGGGTATTCGCGCCTGTGTCAGCGTCCCAGACTCGAATTTTGCGATCCAAGCCGGCGGTGACAATGTATCTGCCATCGTCTGTCCACTTGATGCAATTGACCGCCTCATCGTGGGCCTGGGCCGAGGCGCGGAAGTGCGGGTGGCGAGTCCAGTCGGCACCATTCGCCGCTGCGAGCGTGAATCGATGAACAACGCCAAGCGAGTCTTCCTGGTCAAGCTGAGCGACGACGCCCCCTGCACGCCGAATGTCCCATATGCGCACTTTGCCATCGGCATGGCCACTGGCGAGTATATGCTCGTGTTGCGGGCTCCAGGTTGTGCTGAGAACCGGCCCTCCATGTGCCACGAGCGCTTGCACGGCGGCACCAGATTTCAGGTCGACCAGTCGCACATTGGAATGCTGAGTAGCGCATGCCACGAGCAAATGATCCGCCACGGGACTCATTGAGTGCGAGTAAATCGTGGCATTCAGAGGGAACTCGGCTGACAAGGCCGCACGCGGCGTTGACCACAACTTCAACGTCTTGTCGAACGAGCTGGACAAGAACGCGCCAGAGTCGAATGGATAGAACGCCAGATGCGTGACGCCGTGACTATGACCCCTATTACTGCTGCTACGCGCATCTTGTGTCGAGCGCGCAATTGCCAATGCGGGCTTGAAAGTGTGTAGTGTGTGAGGGCTCGGCGCGCTTTCCAGGTCCCAGATCTTGATGGAGCCGTCGGCGCCGCCTGATATCATGAGGCGTCCGTCAAACTTGTCGACATCGAGGGCGCTGACACCGGCGCCGTGCGCGCGGATATTATGTGCTCTCTCTTCGACAACAGGGGGCGGGTTGCCTCGCGTCAGCCCTTGCGAGGTTAGAATATCTCCATTGAAGCGATGTTGTGGCGCAGGCGCAAAGGTGTGGATGAGGTCGCTCGCGACGCTGCGAGCGAAGTCTTGGGCTCGTAGGTCGCCTGTTTCACGAGCGAGGAGACGAGTCTGCATTCATTTGGTTTCTACGACAGCGACGGCTGTCGAATTTCTTCCTTGGATGCTTGACGAGATGAAAGCTCGCAAGTGTATTAGAGCGCCGAATATAGTGAGTGAGTGGGTCTTGACTACTGCTGGACCCAGCTCGCATTCCCTGCACTTATTTATTGCAACTTGCAGCATCGTTCACCATTTCGTCGTGGCACAAAATACAACTGAAATGGTATCTACCGACTTCAAAATAATTGCATGTTCGTGACAAGTCCAGCAAGGCATTAGTTTCGCCGGCAGGAACGATGAGTTCCTTAGAGGACGAGCCCCTTGGGCACCAGCAAACGCCTGATTTTGACTCTCCGCCTCCGGCGTCTGGCATCGATGCGCTTGATGACCTTCACCAAGCCGAAACAAATCGAAGCAAGCGTCGTGTTGCCACTGTTTACGACGCCGTCGCTGGTGAGTCGCGCAATCCAGACTGCGGCTTGCGAAAGCCGATGCTGACGCTACGTAGGCAAACTCTCGCATCACAGGGGCCCTCTATACAAAGGCGAGGACAGCAAGCCCGCACTCGTTACCAAGTACCCGCATCGCGAGTCAAAGTATGGGCCGGATGAGGTTCTTTTCCGGCGCAAAGACGCTCCCCAACGTTACGAAGAGAGTGACATCTATTATGCGCACGAGAGGGACCTCCCTCGGGGCGGCCGCGGTGTCTTGCCCGAAAGCGACTTGCTCAAAGCCGTCCACGACTACTCTGGGCAGTTCTACTCACGTATGCGACGTCGTGGAAATGCTGCGTCGCAGAGCTACAATATAGACGAGGCCAGCATGGATGAGACAGCCTTGCTCGCGTTTGGCATCCTACTCGAGGAAGCTGGTCGCGACGTCCTGGGCAAGAGGGGCGACATGGTGTTCACGGAGGGCGTCGAGCCGGACGACCAGGACGAAGAGCCCTCGGAACGCAACGACGAGCAGATTATCGCCGACACTGTCGGGCCGCTGGATGGCCTTTCTGGCCAATCCCAGACGAAGAAGGCATCGAAGAGACGCAGAGTCGAAAGCCCGAACCGGTCGAATTCATGACGGTTGCTTGCTACTTACCTCTACCACGCCGTTTCTCTCTTGCTAATCTCGCTGCAATATCTTGCATAAGTCATTGCAAATGTGACTCTGTTGCGCTGCCTACGCTGTCCATGTGTGACTGACGTCCTCCAAACGGCATCGGGGTCGTTGTCAGCTTTCTGCCATGAAACACCGCTCCGAGATTAAAAACGAGTATTTACTAGACTCGGAGGGTTAACCCATGGTTCTTGTTCAGACTAATAAGACTATGACAAAACAGCCGTCTCGTTGATATAGGGCAGTGCTACTTCAAGTCTCGAGTACCTTTGCGCTTTCGCCGGTGCTCCCCCATGTCAGCGGGCCTTTACTCCTGCACAATGTACGAGAGATACCCTCGGCTTAACTACAGCTGTTTACCATTCTCTCTTGCATATATCCCCAGCAAGTCATGCGAGTCTCAGGCTCAGCCTACCACTGTCTGGTAATGCACATCATATCAACGAACACGCAATCGTGTCTGACCGGTGCTCTGCCGCATGCATATGGGTGACTCCTCAAATTCATATACCAATAATGTATACAGCGTTTTCTAATAATGGAGACATATGGGAGACATGGGGACTTGAACAATCTCAAGCATCGACGCTGCGAGCCACGAGCTCGTATCATTCTCGCCTGTGCAGGCATAAATAGCCAAGAGACGGTGTCTCGATACGGAAGATATAATATGCTACAACTTAACAAGGATAGCAAAAAAAAATTCTGAGAGTCTACATTTACAACTTCGACCAGCTACATGGTATTTTCATTACGATCCTGGCAGGCAGGCGGCTCTCTGCTCGGTGATCTCGGCAGGATGGACCGGAACTATTGACAAAGTCTTGCGTCACCTAGGTAATGAGGGCGGTTCCATGGAAATTATCATGAGAAAACAAGTCAAATTGCAGCGTGTGTCAAGTACATATTCATTACTCGACCAATCACGCAAAAGCCGAACAGCCCACGTCTGCAACGTATCTGCGCCGGAAATTAAGAAGATGGCAGACTTTGAACGCCACAAACAGGAAAGGAAGGGGCGTGTCTGCCCGAACAGGCCCAGGAAAAGAGTCTCAGAGGGGGGTACAATGCCAAAAGAGCCGTCACGGCGAAGTGGGCAAGGGGTCTTCCCTTTTCTGCGACCGCTCATTTGCTCAAAACGAGTCAAAATTTGGTGGCTTTTGGGCCGACCAACCGGGCCGGGCGTCAACCAACCGTTGTCGTGAGAAGTCTGCAGCATGTGAGCACATGGCTGGGATCTAATGCACCGCACGGGGCCCTCTTGATCCTTTCAAGACACAGGGCAAACAGAGCTGCAAGTTTCGCCGTTGCCAACTTACATGTCACCGCCGCAGGCCGGGGAGTCGCGATGTAGCAATATGAACTTTTGGAAGCACGCCACAACTGCTGAGATGCGTCGTCTCAATCTCCTTTGACGGCCAGCTACGCACACCCCGTGCACCCATGGTACTGGTAAGGGTCTCGTGAGCTCATGGGCCTTGACAGTGAAATGGCAGTGAACTGCCAGGTTTAGAAGAGGGGCATCATCGCATTCAGAAACGAAAGGCGCAACGCAGGAGACCTTGGCAAGTAACGTTGAATGTTTGCTTTGTTGGTCTGACGTGGTGGCGTAAATTTGGCCGAGTTTCTTTTGTGTAAAAGAAAATATGGAAAAAAAAAAAGGAAAAAAAAAAGAGCAACTCTTCGCTTATTCCTGTCCACCCTCTGTGCGCCTTGGGTTTGAGATGGTGCATATGAGCGGTGTCATGTGCCGTCGCGACGAGGTATTCGCACTGGCTATCTCCGCCACACTCGGATACCTTTCCGTACGATCTTTCGGAGATTTATGAAGGGGGGGCGGGTGGTTCTCAGTGACGCCTTGGTGGCGAATTTCATGCGCTCTTTTACATGTCAATAATACGCACCGAGTATCCGTACGAATTACGGATTCCTCCGTACGGATACTTTCGCACTCTTTGCTGCACTGGTAGTTTGTGTCTCATGTTTGAGACTTTGGCTCAACGGCTTTGGCAACTACTCATTCCTCCGCACTCGTACCCCATACGGATATTCGCGCTTCTCTTCATTCTTCTCCCTCTTTTTTCATGTGCCTCTGGGGTGGCAAGGCACGCCACCTGCATGCATGTCGTGCTGGCGACGTCGGCGACGTGGCTGTCACCTGTCACCGACATGCTCATGGCCAGCGCCCGTCTGCAGAACCACGCAACCCAAGACATCTCTCGTCCCTTTTTTTTTGGTCTCCTGTGAGCTAACTAATGACAGCCCAACTGACGAATTGACGCATTGACGAAATAGCAACAACGTCTTTTTGCTATGGACAAATATGGGCCGTTGCTTGTAAAATATTGTCTGATCAGCAGAAAAGCAAGTCGGCTTCATTTGCACCACGCGATAGTTGCTTTTGCTTTCCGCAACGCCAGTGAAACACTGGAAAAGCTGTGGCTGTCAATGGGCTTGCATGTGCTGCCAGCCTGAATCTTTTGTTGCGACATTCCTTGGTATATAATTCCTTTTTTGGAGGCTCTGTCAAGCGCTGGTTCAGGTGCGAAAAGAGAAAAGGGGACATGTTTGACTTGCGAGAATTATTGCAACGAGAAGAACAGGTCGCAAAATATATTCTTTCTTTTTTTTTCTGAGTTGTGACAGAATCACTGGGGAAGCCGCCACGCTGACCCAGGAGCAAGGGTAGGTAGGGTAGCAGCCTCCAATGTGATGGGGTGAATCTTGCATGACACCGCTGCGCATCTAGAAATCAAGTCTCAGGCTCAGATACATGATTCAAAATCGCGTTCGAAATTACAGATGACTCGATACCAAACGACGGTCCGAGACATTTCCTTGCTTCTGAAAGATGAATATCTGGCTGGGCAGGGAGATACGTACCGCAGCTTTCATCATGGCTCAGCCAGATTTCTCAGTATCGAGTATAACGTACCCAATAAAGCACATTGCATGTCCTTTTCTTGCTTTGTTACCGACTACAGAGCATCGGGTCAGGCACGAAACGACGTGGACTCGGTTCCCATCCATGTACAAACGGCATCGTCGATTCGTATGCATCTCACTTCAGTCAGCCTCAATGTCGTGCATTGCTTTTTTTTCTTTTCGGCTTATAGTCTGCATCTTCATTAATCGGGGAAGGTCTTCCGGGCAACTACAGCCTGGTCGGAGGTTGTACTTATCGCTGGGCAAGGTAAAACACCGTCATCCACCATTGATGCTAACGTTAGCATTGGTTGTCCATGGACATATTCGCATGATTTTCTACATTCCATCCCCTTTCTATGTAATCCGGCCCCTCCGATGCAACTGGTGTCATGTCACTTGTTACTATTCGAGGTTTTATCGTACAGCGAATGGGTAATCGGATTGAACAGTCGTCGCAAAATGGCCGTGTTTCGCCGACGAGGACGTAATCTTGCCACTGCGCGGCCGTCAAGTTTGAGGCTCAACTAGTTCGGTACTTTCAAGTCTGTAAGCCACCAAATTCGGGGACTAGAAGCATTGTCTCAATTGAGAAACATTGATCAGATACCAAGTGCTTGTGTACCTCACAATACGGAGAGAAGTGTACAATGTTTCAGCGGCGCTCATCCCCGGCATCTACTATGCCTCAAGACTACATTCATCTGCCGTACATTTTTCCATCCAAAGCCAAGATCAAACTTTTAGATAATAGCTCAAGACAGTGGCTGGGTGGCAAATAAATCGGGAGCTCCGACGTCTGGCGAGACTTACAGAGGTTTTTGGCATCACGGGGCATGGATTCCAATGAGACCGTACTCCGTACCGCCCTTCTGGAACCATTGGGGGATCTGCCGAGTCCCCCCAAGCTCTTGCCAGGTGTACCCAGTTGAGAAGTGACGAGGAACGTCATTCTGTGCCAGGAAGTTGGGAACCCAGCCACTCCCGGTAGTGTTGAGAGACATGGGGGCTTCGGATGCAAGCGTTCCGTGGTCGAGTCACAGGATTGTATTTAACGTGGCTGGACTCTAATAAAAATCCAATTGCTCTTGAAGATTTGGCGTGTAACCACGGAGTATTCTGTACTCTGTAAGAGCGATTGATATATCTGTATTGGTGTTCCTGTCGCTGTCCTTTGCTCGGCTGGGCTCGGAGAGTGCTTACTATTGGAACTGCTAAGAAGCGCAACGGCACGCCACATAAATAATTCGACGGTGGGTTTCCGCTTCCGTGCGCGCATTGCCCGGGCGCTCTCCGTGCACGTCCTTCATTCCAGAGTCCTCGAACCGAGTCTTTCTAGTGCCTCGAGAAGGTCGCGCTGGTCCCGGTTTTGTGGTAAACGTCCCCCAATGCTACCTTGTAATAACCGGGCTAGCGGCGCGACTGGGGGCCGGTGAAACAGTCGACGAATGATATTCTCTGCTCGTTGCTTGAGTGGCTGGCTGGTGTCAATACTCTGAATAACCAGTAGCAGTTTGGGGACGGCAGTCGAATAGCATGAGGCGAGCCAATGCATCGGGTAACGTAGCCTATCGTCACATGGGGTGGTGGGCAAGACATCGCGGGTGACTGTTCCAGGTGAGCGAAACACGGTGTTCTCAACGCTTAAAACATGAGCCCGGCAATCCCGGGTAGCGCGGTCGCGATATTGTGAGGAACATGGATAAGCCAATTGCAGTGGAGGGCATTATTCGTCAATAGCCAAACATATATCTGGGGAAGCGATGACAACATTGTGCTGTTGCATTTGGTAGCCTTGTTCTCGCTTGTCCTTCGCATAATCACTAATAAAACGACCGTCTCGTATTATCAGTAGCATGGTGTTGAGCGGATGCGCGTGCGATTGGATGGGAAGTGCCGGTCAAATTTATCGATGCGACGATGAACATGTCAATTTACAGGGACCACCCTGCTGCTGTTGGCCACGAGGACGTGTCTCTTGGGGGCTGTGAAGGTACATTCCTACTGTATCTGTATCACTAGGCAAGAGTGATCGGTTGAGTATGTATGAATCTCATGACATAGTTACTGGCGAGGATATGCCCTGTCCATAGGAAGCGACGCCGATCAGGTAGCTAGGCATGCGGGTGACGAACCAAATGCAGCGCCGGTAAAGGAGACGATAAATGAGATTGATTCTTGATTATTGGAAGATAATCAGAGTTGGTAATACATGTATTGGTTCATGGTCATCTACAAATTAAGTACGAAGAGCGCCCTTTCTTTTTTATGCCGCCCGCTAATAAGTAAACCAGATAGAGTGATGGATAACCCCTTTTCTGAAAAGCCGTAAATGTCTTGCCGTCGAGTCTATTTTGGTCTCCGATTAGAGTCTGGGAATGACAGTTGGGCATGGCTAGTACTGACCCAGGCTGATCCCCGGTCAGTAACTAGGTAGGACCTGACAGACGGGACAACAGAGCTACCAGTAGGATGGTTCGGCAGGCTGATAAGGCAAAGGCCCCTTTATTACCCAGTAAGGTTTGTGATTTTTCGCTTGGTTGCAGCGCCACCCCTAGCAGTTCCGCGGGGGGGGGGGGGGCTTGTGACGACGCACCAGGTTACCCCTTTGCCCCTCTCCTCGCTCCGGTCCGCAGTGGGCTACCCAGCTGGGGAAGTAGTATGTGCGCCACTGGACACTAATAAAATAGAGCTGGCGAGAAGAGGACCTGCAGCAGTCTAAATTATAAAATCCCGGCCGTCATGCGCGTAAAGGCGCAAGCAGAGGCGGAGAGAGGCGTGATGAGAGGTATGAGAACAAGAGACGGCTGCGGGGGGTGGTGACGGGCTGCATATGGGTGGATTCGGAAGCAGATTGGTCTGGAGAGATGATGTTGATCAGCAAGATATGTGTTGGGATGTCATAACGGGCGCAAGGAGCTGCAGGATTTGTGAGAGCAGCCAGCGCGGTGGATTTGCGTCGAAGCGGTTTGTGTAGGTTGACTGAGGCAATGACAGTGATGTTTGCTGCACAGGGCAATTAATTAACTTGGTACCTGCAATAGATGCCTACCACTGCTACCTTGCAGGGAAGTAACCGACGCGCTGCGGGCTGTGGCTGAATGCTGCTGTAACGTGTACCCGGAGGTAGGGGAGTATCTGCACTGATATCCTCGCCTATCAGCTCCCAAGGGGTTCTGTGCGTGGCGAACAGATGCTGACGGCTGGCATGCTTGGTCCGTTTAGCCAATGGCAAGCAAGCCTGCTCTGCAATGGCCCTGTGCCCCTCGCCAGTTGCGACAGTGCAAGCAGGCGGCCGCAGGCACACTATATTAAACTTAGAGAAAATTCTAGCGGAAAAGACGGAAATACGATAACCATGCGCAATTGATCAAAAGGGTACGAGTCCATAATTGAAATTGGCGCAAAAAGGACGCGTGCTGGATAAAAGAGGGGAGTTTGCGCGCAATCTCGTGTGGGTGTCGAAATGAACGGAGACGAGCACCAAACGGGGGTCCAGCGCCGGCCCAAGTGGTAGCTCTTTATTTAGTAGTACCAGGACGTCTAGAAGCATAAAGTTCCGAATGGAATGCTGGTCTAGAGATGAGTATCGGGAAGCAAGCCGTTCTGCATAGATGCAGCACGGGTGTTTGCGAGAGTTTTGGCCGTGCCATTGTAGTTAAACCTAACACCTCAAGTAGGTGTACTCCGTAGGTAGGTAGGTAGGTAGGTACTAACGAATATGGTACCAACCCAATCTTACTAAGTACCTAGGTGCCTGGTAGGCAGGTAGGTACCTTAGGCAGGTACTGTACGTACTGTACGTACTGTACGAAGGTACAAAATCCGCACAAACAGGTTTCCGTTTGCACACAACACCACAGCTCACACCGCCTACACAACCAAGGCTCACATCGTCAGCTTCACTTTCACTACCTGCAACCTCGGTTGATGCCCATCGCCGGCGTCCCCCATCCGCCTCCTCCCCGGTGTCACCGAGATGCGATGTGCAGTCTAACTAGTTGACTATCCTCCTGCAGCCCCCAGCAGTCTAGGCAGTTGATCCGTACGTCGCTACCCGTACTTGTCCCGCAGCGCCACGCGGTTGGCACCACCCCATCATCAGAGTGAGCACCACTCCTCGCAACAATGACGGAACTTGCCAACTAACCGACTCAGCACGCTGCTAGCTCGCCCCTCACCTCCCTCCTTACCCCATTCTCGAATTTTCTTGGCCATCGACTCATTACAGCGACCACCCAGACCGACTTGGCGACGGAGCGCGGCCCATGCATCATGACCCTTGTCCGCTGGCAGACAACCCTTGCCTAGGCAGCCCAGCCTGGCAATTGGGCTTTGTTAGCTCGTCCCGCACTGGCGAAGAAAAGGAAAAAAACAAGACAGAACGAGACAGAAAAGCACCAGACATTTGCTAGCCCACACCGTGGAGGACCTGGTACTCGCAGCCTTGGGCCCTTGGTCTTTGCGTTTCTGTGTCTTTGTGTCTTCGCGTCAAGTATTACCAGTACGGCAGCTTACCGTCTTTTGTCGCTGCCGCCACGAGCCACCACAGACGCAGCTATAGGTATTAGCCATGGTACCGACTACCGACTCACCGTCCTAAAAAGCGCACTTTCTGGCAAGTTGTCTACCAGGTACCTAACTAGGTACTACCTACTGAGCCCATTATATGGATAGGTACGGAGTACATTGTACGCTCCGTTGTACCTTGCACGCCTTGCAGCTCCTTTGCGCACACCCAGCACAACACTCCCGCAACCACGATTTTCAGCCACGCACGGCATTGCATTGTACATGCATCTCACACAGCTGCTGCTCGCTTCTTCCAGCTAACTAAGCAGTTGGCCTGCAGACCTAGTTACCCGTTTACCGTCTGCTGTTCCATCTCGCTCGCGCGCCCGGTCCATCACAGACAGATCTGCTGCCCTGGCCTCTGCTCCATTGCGAACCCCGTCAGCCGCTCCTCTCGCCGCCAGTACTCCGTATTATTAGTTACGGTCCACGGTGACGGTCCACGGATACTGGTGTCTGCTGTCTGCTGGTATTAGCGCTCGCGCACTTTCTGTGCCCTGCCCCGGCCGCCGCTGGCCTCACCTCCTTCTTGATCCTTCCTTCTCTTGGGATCCCCCTCTTCCACCCCCCCTTCGGCCCTGCTCTCTCTTGCATATTCATGCCCAACACACCCGCTGGCCCTGCAGCCCACCTACACCGTTGCTGCCACCATACAAGTACCGCCGCTTCTGCTCCGTCCCTGCGGCCGCTGGCGCAAACACCCGTACGCCGCATCGCAACTTTCTGCGCGCCGCCTTTTGCCATAGCTATTAGCGGTACACGGCCACGGCCCATCACTCGCCACCGCAACCCGACCCGACACAATCCCTGTCCTCTCTAAAGTGGTACGGCTCCTGCTCTTCAGCCCGCAAAAGGCAAGCTTTGTTTGGCCCTGTCTCTCCGCGACACGCCGCCCCACACGCCGCCGCTCTGCTTTGCGCTTCTCGTCCTTCTTGACCTTCAACTCCAACCACGAGCGCCTCGTTTTTTCTTGCTGATCTTGAATCCTTTCCGGTGTCTGTCGTTTCACCGCTTCCAACCTCGTCTTCGCCTTTTCCTTGCCCCCATTTTCCTGCGTCCTCTTGCTGCGCTTCCCCTCGGCGCGTCCCAGTCCTTCACTCAACTTCATCGTTTCCCTGCCGTGTCACACACAGTTCATTCTATCCGTACTACAGACGCTACCAGTACTTCTCCTCCCGCCAGCATAGCCTTTGCTTGTCTGGTCACTGACAGCACCCCAAGCCACGTCGTCGCCCAACCCCATGTCGGCCAGCTAGGCTGCGAGACCACACCTTTCAGCCGCCTCCTTCAGATCCGATCCCATAGACTCCCCCAAGGCCGCGATATCGCGACACCCGCCTTGGCTCTTCCCGTCGCGTCGTCTCGGCTCCCGTCCATGGCTCCCTGCCTCGCCTGGTCCTAGCTTTGCCACTCGACTCACCCACGGCTATGAGCCTGTGTGTCTCTGGCCCTGTCTACAATACACAAAGATGGATCCAGCTTCCCGTGAGAGCAAACGGCTTCGTCTGCCCTCGTGGTCTAGTACCACCTCGCAACAGCCAACCACGTTACCGCTCCCGCACTCCGCGGCTCATTTGCATCAACCCTCCCATTCTCAGCTACCATCCTCTGCTGCTCCCGGATATTCGTCCTACCAGCCCCGGCACGCCGAGATCTCTCCAGGTCATCCTTCCACCTCAGGGCATGGCCTTTTGCACCATCCTGACGTCGACCGTCGCCACCACGAACAAGAGCCTCTCGCTCCCATGCACGACCACTATCGCCATCCGCAGTCCCAACCGCAGCAGCCGCCGCCTCACTCACCGGCCCAGCCGCAGTACCCTTCTTATTCCTCCCGAGACTCCTTGACAAAACGAGAAGGTCCCGAAGACGGCCGTCGCCCGACATCGGGCAGCCATGGTCTTGACGGCGTCCATGGCTCGGCTTCGCATCACTCTGCCCCTCCCCCGCTTCCGCACTCTTACCCTTCTGAGCCCCAACGCCATGTCAACTACGACTCTACTCAGCTTCCTCCGACGCCGTCGTACCGCCATAATACTGGGTCTTCATCAATGCAGCCCCCTCAGCCGTATGAAAGCCAGAGCCAGTCCGCCTACGCGTCCGCCGGAGAGCAGTCAATGTATGGCGGCATGTATACGTCCTCAAGCGTGGCACCGGCAAAGAAGAAGAATACAAGAGCATCCCAGGTATGAACTGTACCCTATTATTCGGCTCGTCTTCCACATCTAATTGTCAACCAGGCTTGCGACTCGTGCCGTCAACTGAAAGCGAAATGCGACGAATTAAGACCCTGTAAAACATGCAGAGACAGAGGGACCGAGTGCAAATATCGCGATCCACCGCCCAAAGTGTCAGTCTTGCTCATTAGTCTTGAACTTCGTCCGCTGTAGTACTGATTCATGAATTGTAGCGCCGACAAAACCCAATCGGATATCCTCGAGGGTATCGCCCTCCTGCAAAATCAGCTATCATCTCTGACTGCTGACCTATCTACTCTCACTGGTCATTTTGCAAATATGAACGAACGCATGACAAGAATGGAAGCGTGCGTCATGCCCAAAACTGACCTCATTGACCCTACTCCGAACATGAACTCGGTAGTCGAAGACGAGTGTAAACCTGAGCGCACACCGCTCAATGGAAACGAAATGGTCAATTACTCGTCGCAGGACAATGGTGCCGCCGGAACCGATCAAACGATGTTGCCTGAAGACGAGCTCGAGACCGAGCCCGGCCCCCCACCCCCCGTTGGCGAGCCCGCCATTCCCATAAACCATACCACGCTGGCCGGACTTTTACTCGACTGGCCATCTATTCAAGAGATGACGAAACATCATACCGAACGAGAGGGCATAACCTATGTGGGAGAATATCCCATCAGCCAAGAACAGAATCGAGGCTTGCTGATTGTGTATGGGCGTGGGGAAGACAACAGAATGTCACGGAAGCAGCGCGAACGTGAACATGACCAGCAAAGCGTTGACATGCCCGACGACTCATCCGACTCTCCATCGCCCTCTATAGTGACCGAAGCAGCGGACTGGGGCACTATGGGTGGCCTTGGTCCGTATGATCAGATCGACTATAGAAGCGGTGTTCTCGGCCCTGACGGCAACCCCGACTTTTCCGAGGCCAAGGTATGGTCATATGTCGAGAGCTTCAAGGAAAACATTCTCAATATGCATCCAATCGTACAACCTCCAATACTTGATCAATGGGTGCGCCAATTCCTCGACTCCTTCCCCATACAAGGGAACAAACATATTGGCAAGACGAGCACAGCTTGGGCCGTGAGCAGCTCCTTCGAAACTACTGGTTTAAAGCGCAAGCGGTCATCCCCGGGGCCGCCCGACAACACGGAGAGTTCGTCAGCGGCATCGCCCACTGCTAGGACCGGTCGACCCAATAGAACGATACACACCGCACTCGTCCTGACTATATTGGCACTCGGGAAGGTATGCCAACATCGAGACTATGTGCCCGACGCCCTCCACGTTGGTGATCCAATGCCCCACGGAAGGTTTCAAATCAATGGCATCCCTCAATCGCCAAAGGGTTCGCCGCCCAGCGATACGCCACGCTCACAATCATCAAATTTAGCATCCCCTCATGAGCAGGAGCGTCCGAATCATGGCCGTCGTTCGTCCCTGTCCGGTAACCCTCGGGCAAGTCTGCTAAAGAAGAATTACGAGAACATTCCTGGCCTGGAATACTTTGCCTTTGCAACCGACATCCTGGGCAACCACTACGGATCCTATAATAATATGAAAAACGTGTATGCCCAAATTTTTGCTGGTCTCTATCAAGGTCAGCTCGGCCGGCCTTTGGAGAGTTTTGCATTCATCCAAGGCGCCGGACACAAACTCCAGGTGATAATGCGGCCCAGCCTGGAGAAGCTCAAGAGGTGCAAAACTGAGCGGAAGTTTATCAATGATCACAAGTACAACCAGCTCTCGCTGGCGTTTTGGACCTGCCTGCAACTGGAGAGTGACTTACTTGCTGAACTTCCTTGCCCCCCTTCAGGCCTCTTGAGTTACGAGAATGACATCCCCCACCCCAACATGAGCTTACTCGAGGGGTTCGCACAGCCTGTTCTCGACAGTTATCTCGGCCAGCTCTACCTACGAACGCATCTCAACTGCATCCACCGCATGTTTTATGGGCCGGGAGATCCAACGAAAAACGGTATACTGGATATGCCATACAAGAATGTCGACTTTGTCTCCGCTGCGGTTTCTGGAATGGAATGGGTCGCGAAAAGTCTCGTATTTAGGGAAGAGGATCCTCCTGCCACTGACATTCTGGCTGCAAGACTTCGTGCCAAGTACTGGGGTGCTCAAGTTCTGACCTATCGACCCTTTTTGAGGCAGATGTTGCAATTTTCATTCGCCAAGAACCACCCGACCATTGGACAGCCGCCCTCATCAGAGTTTCGCGCCGAAGTCGAAGCGCCGCGCATCGACCCCCAGGCAAGAAGCGTGGAGGACTTGGATCCGCACATTCTCGTTCTCTCCCAGAAGGCCATTAAAGCTCTGATTGAGAGCACCAGGGCTTTCCATGGGCTGGGCGACAAACGGCCGATCATTACGAGTGTGTTTGGCACTGCGCACGCGCAGTGGGGCAACTTACTTGTCTTGTCTGCTGCGTTCAGAGACCCGATCATGGGCGCATACGTTGACGAAAAGCTTCTACGCCACTTGTTCCAGAAGACGATTGCCTTTTTGCGACAATCAGCTACGGCCACGAGCTCACTCCGCATCGACATGCACATTTTGGAAGGCATTCAACATGACTTTTGGGGCATCGAACCTTCCTACAGCAGCAACTATAATGGCGCATCGCATCCGGCTGGCAGTGCGCAGACGACGACAGCGCGCATGTCATCGGATAGCATTGATATGCCGCCACCGAGAAACGCTATTGAAGGCGAAGCAACATCGCAATTGCACAACTATCGTTCGACACCAGCGGCCGGGTGAGGCTTGCTACACGATGCCCATACCACCATCTTCTTGCGTGTAATGTGAAAACGGCCTCGACACTGCTTGTGCCCATGACGGAGCGACGACAATACACCTTTTGTTTTCTTGTTTCTTATCTGTTATCCCTTGTCCGTGCTCGTGAGCCCCGCGCGTTCTGTTCGACTTGTCGTTTTTATTCCCTTGCTTCATGCATCATGGCGAGCGACAGTTTTGCATGGCATGCATTCTCTCGTTCTACCCTCTATTCCAACTTGTTTTCTACTTCTATCATACATATATCTGGGTTGTACGTTTTCCTCGTTTCAATTTCCTTTGTACCGTTGACACACATATATATATGCAATGCCGTTGTTACCGAGTTCCGGACAATATTCTTATACCATCCTCAGGCTTGCTTGACTATTTTTCTTCTACTGTACTATTCCAATTTGTCATGGCTCTGCCATTTTGCTTCAATGTGCTTCAACATGTTTCAATGGTATTCTTTTGTTCTTTTTTTTTCTCCCCTTTGTATTTGGCGTGGCGAGCTTGAAAAGATACCACCGGAGGATACCCCATTTTCGTGCGGGCAGAGAGCTCTTGATATTTGCCCCTTGTGTTAATGCAATACGGGCGGAGCAACGAGCGGCCTTGTTTTTCTCTTGTTTTGAATTGGATATAGATGAAGTATCAGAATCAGAATGAAGAAGATTGAACCACCAATTGTTCGATTGCAACGTTGCTGGTTTTTCCGTTTGTACTGCTTGTTTTACGTTGACTTTGCATGGCTATTCACAAATGTCACAATCTTGCTTCAACTTGTATCATAGTCTTGTACATTTCTGGCATATGAATTTTATAGTCCATCATCGTCATTGGACCAAACAATTCGTCTAATTTTAGGACCATTTTGAAAAAAAGAAAAGCATGCAACGCCATTGTCTGCAATGCAAACGCCTCGAAAACGCCACCCTGAAAAAAAAAAGCCAAAAAGTAGCAAGTCAAAACATGCGAGGAGGTATGATGCTGCTCCGTTGTAGCAGCAATAAAGTAAAGAAAACTGCTCCCCCCCCCCCCCCCCCCCCTTTTCCTCTCTCGTGCTCTCAAACGAACCCCAGGATTAGGCTGTCGAGCATACCGCCCGTCTGGCCAGCGACCTGGGCGCGGTTCACCTCTGCGCGGACGCGCCGGTGGAGGGTGCGAAACCCGGCAGCCAGCGGGGCCGAGGCGTCGGCGTACTCGGCGTAGAGGTCGAGCAGGTGCAGGCCGACCTCGACGCAGACGCTCACGTAGCGGGGATCGCAGACGTGCGCGCAGACCCACTGGAGGACGGGCAGGACGTCGTTCTCGTCGCGGCGCTCGAGGGCGTCGCGGACGGCGCCGCGGTGGCGGAGCGTCGAGCAGCAGCGCGAGGGCGCTC